ATCTTGAGGCCACCTGGAGCAAAAACTAGGAGGTCCCTCCTTACTCTGGTTTTGTCCTGAGTCACTTTGGTCAAGGAAATGTTTTACGAGACCTTTGTGGTCACAAACTTTTCTTACATCTCAGCTTTCCCTATTTAACTGTATTGATTTTCCAACCTTGGGGGCCCCTGGGCTTCCAGATTCTCTGTTCTCCATTATGACTCGAGCACCAGGTAACGCTTTCCTGACCTCCTCTCTTCCTTCAACACTGCCCACAGCAGCCAAGACAGGACGAGGCTTCTGCCTCCCCACCTCCTCCCTGTGGGCTGCCAGCTTGGAAAGCACGTGGTTGCCCCCTCGTCAGAGCAGGCAGTAGCTTGGCCCGACACTTTGCTGGTTCATTCACAAGACTCTTACTTTTCCAGGGCCCTTTACCAATTTCTTTGTTCACTTCTGTCAACTGCTGAGCCGATGTCCCACGGGTGAGTCGTTCAATTCCTATGGGCCTGTTTCTCCACTGGCAAAATGAAGATAACAGTACGATCTGCTGCACAGGGCGGCTGCAGGAACTAAGCGAGCCAGGCATGCCAGGGCTCTGCCCAGCACGTGGTCTAGGAGAAGTCAATGTTTGCTGTTACTGCTGCTGCTCAAATACCAAGGAGGATATTTGCTCACTTGAGACCAATATCCTAAGTTCCTAAGAGTCTGACAGACCAAGCAGTTTCCTTTCTTAAAAAACTGAAGCGAGAGCCACCTGCACACAGGCAGGACGCCCACTGACGCTGGCCCATCGGTTTTCCTCTCTCAGTCGATCGCCACGGGAAGCCTAGTTACCATCAGTGCCAGTTAGCTCTGTTAATGCTGCATAACAACGCACCCCAAGGCTGATGTCTTAAAACAAGATGTATTTATTTGGCTGTAGGGCCTGTGGGTTAGTGATTTGGATTGGACTTAGCTGGGTGATGGACGCCCCTCCCTGCCGCCTGGCTTGTGACGGCGGTGAGTTGGACACATGTCTCTCATCCTCTGGAAGGCTAACTTGGACTGGTTTTGGGGTGGTGGCCAAGAGCTATGGCAAGCCCAGTTGTGCAAGTGTTTTTCAAGTCTCTGCCTGCTTCATGATGCCAACATCCCAGGAGTCCAGCAAGGCCTGAAGTAGCTGACCCACGTCTGGGTGGAGGGCCCTGCAAAGTGACATAGCCAAGGGCGTGGAACCACAGGTTAGCAGTCTCACAGACCTTCATGAAATGAATGGGTGATGGTATGTCTAGAACGAGAGAAGTTATTCCTAGGACATTAAAAGCAGGTGTCCCAGTGCTCCATGGCCTGGACACCCCATCCCTCCTGGGGAGCCAGGCCTGCCACACAAGGCCGGATATCCTGCTGCCAGCACTCAGGTGGGTGCCTGAGACACACAGACCGAGCCTCGCTTCTGCTCCCTTCCTGACCCCTGCAGGTGTCCTCTGGGGCCTGGCACGATCTCATTCATCTGTGTCTGCTGTGCCTGGCACTGGGCCTAGCACAGAGTGTAGTGCAGGCAGCTTCTGCTTGGGAATCAATACAATAAAGAGTGAAAGAATAAACGGTGAATTCCTCAAGGACAGACGAGATCCGTTCCCCCCTGCTTGCCAGCGTCCAGTGATGCTGTTCTAGGCAATCTTTCTAATGAGGGTTCTGAGCAGCACTTTTCCTGTCTGGATCACGCTGGCCGCCTGTTCCCACCTACACTGGAGACACAGCATCTAGAGCGACTTCTTCGAGAACCTGCTGACCTCCGCGTGGTCCTGCTGAGAGGGGCAGGGGCTGACAGAAGAAGCCGGTGGGTTTGATGGCGTTAGGGCACCTCATCTTGGGGACCTGGAGTGGGGTTCGCATGGCCGCCTCCACTGGGCACATCCAGCTCTCAGAGCCAGTCTCCAACTTGGAGGGAAAGGGCAGACAGTGACAAGAAGACCCAGAAAGCTCCAAACAAACTGCCCTATGTCCGGGGCAAACACCACCATTGGCTTATCCCTTGGAGTGTTCCCAGGGTGCCCGGTGCTGTGCTGAGCACTTTACAAGTGCGTTTCATTTAGTTCTTACACCCAGGTTAGGTGGGGTTTGCTTTCTTTCCTCTTTACAGATGAGAGGCTGATGGGCAGAGGTTCAAGGCCACCCAGCCGACAAGGGGCCCCGGGCTCCCCACTCTGCACTGACAGCGGAGTCCGCCTTCACCGCTCGCCTCCACTTCCCCCAAGCGCGTGTCACCAGAGGCGAACAGTTCAGTTCACCACACACCAGCTAATAACCTGAAATCCACTGGGAAACAAAATGTACATCTTCATGTCAGAGTTTTCTTTTTAAAACGACATGCCGTGGAGTTACGTAAGACGGTGTGCCCACACTGCCTTTCCAGAGAACATTCTCTTCCTCGGCAGGAGTGTCTGGATTCAGGTGAGACTGGGCCCCAGCAAGACCTTGAACTCCTCTCTTGTGGCTACAGGCTACAGGGCGCTAGAGCTCTTCCCTCCCCAGCTTTTCCCGTCAGCCTGCTGTTTCTCTTGGGTAGCTTCGACTTTTCTATGAGCCGCCCCCAAAACGGCTGTGGGGAGGTTTGCTTCTAAAAGTTGCAAGGACATCACTTGCCTGAGGCCACCTGTCCTGCCACAGTGCCATCTCCTGGCTGGGGAGAGTCCAGCACCAGGCCTCATCCTGAGGGGCCACTGGGAAATGGAGGTGTCACATTAGAAGCTGATCAGCCATCAGCAACGTGACAGCTGCGGGCTGGCAGCCCCCGCCCCCCCCCAAGACATTGATCAGGGCGCTGTCAGCGCAGACGCCTTCCAGACCCGATTGCCATGTAAGGCTCTTTGCGTTTCCTGGTCATGGAATCTTCCTGGACAGCCAGTGACAGCGCCTGGAAGGGAGGGTAAGTGTGAGGCTCTCCACACTCCCAGTGGAATCTCTTTCCCTGGTGATGTTTGCAAATATGAACCAGGTTTGTGCTGGAGCTGGATCAGATGACCTCCAGAGAATGCCCCAAACTGGTAAGAGGTGCCTCTAGTGACCCCTGACAGAAACTCCACCTGAGGCACAGTGCTCGGGCGCGAGGTGCCAGGCTTATGGATCTTTAAGACTTAAGATGAATTAAAGAAAGGAAAGGTGAGAAGGGCAGAGCCTTTACTGACCCAGTTTGGCATGTCATGAGGGAGCCTGTGTGGCCCACGGGACCACTTCAGATGGGTCAGGGCAGGGCCAGACACTCCTCTGCACAGCGCGGCTCTGCATGAGGTCAGGGAGCAGCGATGTGTCAAACTGAGAGCAACGAGTCCAGCTTCTGTTCACCACGGGCCCATGGGGGGCTGCTGGCCCTCTATATGTTTATTAATTTTTAAAAATGCACTTTAGCCGGCCTAGTTTTACTTAATGCCTAATAAAGAAAAAAACTGTTTACATAGCACCCCTGGGCCTGACACTGAGCAGCTGAGGTTAGCAAGATCCTTCGCTTTTAGGGCAGACACAAGCCAGCAGCCTGGGAAGAAAACCATGCTTTCCGAAGCACGCCATCCAGGTGAAAGTGGCAGCCGCCCAATAGCACGTCAGATGAGACAGTGGGGTGAGGGGAGGTCAGAGCCCCAGGGAAGAACTGCACTCACTTGGCTCCTGGCCTCTGTTGCATAACGTGTCCAGGAGGGAGAGTAAGTCACAAGTCACAGCCCGATTCATGTGCGTTCCTGCGGCCCAGATATCTATCTCCCTGTATAAACTCCCTGCCTGTTTAACATTCTCCCCGCAGCACATCAGAAGAGGCCAGAGAGAGTGGCCAGAGTCTGCCATTGGCTCCAGGGTGACGTCTTCTCCCTGCTCTGCTGCTGCCTGCAGGTCTCACTCCCATTCCTGGCTTAGGTGAGTGCTAGATTTTTCCATCAAAGGTCTTGTTACCAGCGCCTGTTTTCTCTCGTCTGCACTGGCTCGTGAGACACCTGCGGTCACTTGAACAGGTTTGGCTTTCCTGTCTGCAGATGAGGCTGCCCCATATGCAGCTCTGGTGGCCTCGCCCACAGCCCAAGTCGCGTCAGGAGGCAGGTTTAAGTCCCAGGAGGAAGCCAGGACCAGATGCAGACACCTAGTAGCTACTGAGCGCGTGCTGTGTGCCGGGGGCCAGGCAACAGCCCTGCCTACTTGAGCTCGTCTGATGTGATATTCTCTACTGGTTCAGAGAGGGAGCATCACCACCCCCATTTTACAGATGAGGAAACCGAGGCTCAGGCCAACGCCTTTATCTAGAAAAGTGGCAGTGGAGCCAGGATTTGAACTCACAACCCACGCCCATGCTGCCTCATGTCTGCGTCGCCCTGGGGCCGAGTAGAGCAATTGCTCTGGGAAGCACCAGGGCACACAGGTCAAGTCTCAGAACTGTCTGGTCTCCTTGCCTCAGGCAGGGTCCTACAGTCTGCACAGTAGTGAGTCCCAGTAGAAAGTTCATGAACTCTGAACTCCAGAGATACACAAGTGTCTGCCTCGACTACGCAGCCAGCTGACCTTGGGCTTATCAACTTCCTCCGCGCCCACTTCCTCAACTACCAAACAGGCCTAATGGCCCTAGTCTGGGGGCTGACATGAGTAAAGGCGACCGCGTCCCTTCTCTCCAAGGCCAGCACCTTGAAGGGCAGGTGGGACCAGGTTCTGTGGGAACCCCATAGCTCAACAACACCTGGGCGGGAGCTTCCTCCCTGCGCGCGGCGCGGCTCATCATTGCCGACCACCTCCCCATCCATTCCGGCCTGCCCGCCTCATGGCTAGCCGTCGCAGGCCCAGCCCACTCTGCCCGCACAACCCCTCCAGGGAGCTCAACTCTTCCAACTAACTCGCTCTGACATATGATTTCCTGTGTGTTGTTATCCTGTCAGCTAAAATCACTGTGCAGAGTAGAAATGCAAAGTTTGTTATAGCACCACATGGAGCTAAAACCTACGATCACGGCTTGCAAAACCCTATAAAGCCATGACTATGGATTATATGAGGAGAGAAAATGAAAATAACTGCAAGGGCTGGGCACTGTGATTTTCCTTGTTTTTTCAATGTTCTTTAATATTCAGTCATCTTTCAGCTTACAAAGTGAACATTTTAGACACACCCTGAGGAGGAGGTTGTTGCCGCTTAAGCAGCATGCCCACACAGGGCTGCCTGCTGCCCTCATTCTGCCTGCTGTGTCTCTGAAGGGTTCAGCTCAGGGGGTGGGTTAGCTTTCCTGGCAGAGAGGATCACAGCGGGTCAGAAGGGGGAAATGCACTTAAACAAAGCTTTCCCTCCAGCCCGAGGCTGGCTGCTTTCCACTAAGCACGCGCAGCTGCCTCACCATGGCCTCCCCTGCAGCGCCCCCCTGTGGCACAGCCTATCTCCAGAGCCAGGAGCCAGAGAACAGGCTTCGTGCCGGCCACACAGAAGAGCCACTTCTGAGGCTCAGAACTGAACAAAAGACAATGTCACAAAGAGTCAAGGAACATTTACTTGTCCTAGGAGAGGTGGATTCATCACCTGCGGCGGGACCCATGGTCTGGGTGGGCTGCATATCTAAGGTGAAGCAGGAAACACAGGCCAGTGTTGATCAGGAGCAGCTGGGGCCAAGGAAAGTGCCCCGTGACAGGCAGGGTGCCCTGCTCAGCTCTGCTTTTCAAAAAGGTATTCGAGATCCGGGGCACGCAGTCTCTGCTCTTTGTTTTTGTTTTTAGCAAAATCTCTCAGCAGTGCCATGACTTCGTTTTCAAATATCTCCGGGGCTGGTTTTGCTTCTGCAGAAGAACAGGCAGACAGGAACATGGCAGTCAGTCAGTGCTCAGGTCCGGGACCCCAACACCAGCAGCACTGGCCTTGGCCCAGAGCCACAGTGGGCACACACGGGCACAGCTGCTCCACTGTGCTTTGCAGACACTGCATATGTATACATATATATGTATATTTTAACAAAGTGTGGCAAAAAAAGATTACAATTCACTGAAGGCTCGGATGATGCTTAGCATTTTTTAGCAACAAAGAATTTTTTAATTAAGGTCTATATACATTTTTAGACAGAATGCTGTCGTAGACTCAACACTGTATAAACAACGATTATATGCACTGGAAAGCCAAAAACACCATGTGACCTGCTTTACTGCAATAACTGCTTGATCATGGTGGTCTGGAGGCTGACCCACGTCCCAGGGCATCTCCAGTCTTCCTGTATGTGGACGAGCAGCCAGGGCAGGAGGTGGCCCCCCATGGCACCCTGCGTTGTAGACTCACACTGGAACAGCTGCTCCCACTTGTTTATGACCTGTCTGTGGTTGCTCTGTGCTAAGAAGGCAGAGCCGAGCAGGCGACCGCACAGCCACCGGACTACAAGGACTCACTATCTGAGCGTGTACGGACAAGTGTGCCAACCCCGGGCCTGTCCAGTCTTGGCTGCACGACCTTGCTCTGCATTTGGCATTTCGGCTGTGTCCTGAGATTGTGTTTTCCCTTCTAGTCTACAAATTTCCTACGGCAAAGGGCCTTAGTTGTAAGGAGAGAAGCTAATCATTCTTATAAACTTAAGCAAAAGGGAATTTGGGGAAAGGACATTAGAGGCACAAAAATGACCCAAACTGGGAGACCCAGATACACACGGCCAGGCACAGAGGCTCCCAGAGCAGAGAGCGCCAGGCCCTCGGGCGCGGGTGCACACTCCCCTACACCTTTCCTTCTGCCCGAGACACTCACCCAAGACCCAACTGACAAGCAAAGACTCCCACTGGGAAAGCTTAGGGCACGTGCTCTAGGACGACCCACCTACCACGCCTGATTAGAGCCTAGGGGAGGGCGTTCCTCAAAACCATGTTTGGGTCCCCTCATTCAGCCCAGGGCCTGGCATCTGTTTTTCTGTAACAACCAAAGCAAGATAGAGATTTAGGCTCCCCCTCAGAACGCTGGAAGCTGGGAGCCATCCTGCACTCACCCTAACGAGAGCACCAGGTAAACTGTTAACAAATGAAGTTATTTAGGCAGAAGGAAAATTATACCAGACACAAAGAAAAGACAAGCTCTAGAAATGGCTAAAATGAAGATAAATATAAAATATACTTGGGCCTCCCCTGGTGGCGCAGCGGTTGAGCGCTGGGCTGCGAAGCTGCCCGCAGCCTCTGCAGTACCTGTTCGATCCCCGACCGCCGGGGAGGGTCCCACATGGCGCCCAGACCTCTCCTGCCACCCGCTGCTCCCTCAGCAGTGTATTTTGTCAGTCTTCCTGTTCTGTTCCCTGCTCTGGCTCTGGTGAATTCTCTCGTCCTCCCACGCTTCTGACTGTACCCAGTGCTTGTATAAATAAATAAATAAAATATACTTTGTACTTAATATCTAGACATTATGTCATGTATATATTTGTACATTATATGCTGCAACTTACATACTTACAAATATAAAACAAAATGTATCTTTGCCCTTGTTTTAAGTCACTATGAAGATAAAAAAATGGAAAATGTGGCTTATAACATAAGTAAAAGTAAAAAATATGATCATGATCACACAAACGGTGGGAGGAAGGACTGATAAATGGGGCACTGTTTAAAATTGCTAAATTTGTGGTAACTCATTACATAGCAATAGAAAACCAATATAGAGAGAATCAAAAGAAAGCTGGTATAGTGTCTACATTACTATCAGACACTTCAGAGCAAGGAAAATTATCTGCAATAAAGACAGACATTCTATAATGATAAAGGAGTCAATTCATTAATATACAACGTTAAATATGTCTTCCTATAACAGATCCAAAATACATGAAGCAAACACAGAGAACTGAAAGGAGTAACAGACAAACCCACAATTACAGTGGGAGATTTCAACAGTCCTCATTTAGTAACTGACAGAACAAAATCCAGAGAACATGCATCAGACTAAAGAAGACACTCATGGGAGGTCCCAGACAGTGCAAGAGAGCAAGTGAAGTAAAAGACATAAAGGGCAGACAGACTGAGAAAGAAGAAAATGCCCTCTGTTCAGATAGCACAACCACCTACCCAGAAAATCCCGAAGAATCTATAAAAGGGCTTCAGGAACTAAGTGAGTTTAACAAGGTCACGATATACAAAGTTAACACACAGAAATCAGTTGCATTTCTATAGCCAGTTTACCAATGATGGAAAATTGAAAAGGTTTTTAAAGGACCATTTATAACAGCACCAAAGTATGGGAAATGCCCAGGCACAAATCTAGCGGGTGCCCAAAATATACTGAACACTGCAGAACACAGACTGCAGCAGGCAGTACCCAGCTAGTTCAGGACAGTGCCCAGGTAGTTCAGCTGCTGGTACCATGCCCCTGTGTGACCCCCCTTGAGTGTGGTAGACCCTAATGACTGGATTCTAACTAACAATATGGCAGAGAGGACAGAGAGACGTTTCTGTGACAAAGTTACAAAAGACAGGGACTCCATCTTGCTTCTAAACTGTCTCTACTGCCTTCCTGGCTGGCATGCTTTAAGGAGCAAGCTGCAAGGGGGCAGAGGCCATGACAAGGAATAGAAGGTGGCCTCCGGGCAACAGCCAGTAAGGAACTGAGGTACACAGGCGAAGAACCCAAGAGGAACTGAATTCTGCCCACACCGGTGAGCTTGGAGGCAGCTCCTCCCTCAGTGGAGCCTCCGCATGAGACCCTGGGCCCCTGACCTGACAGCCTGTTGCAATTTCAAGACAAACTGAAGCACAGAACTCACCTAAGCAAGGAGATGCTAAGTACACATGGGTTGCTATAAGTCAGTAACTAAGTTTTGGGATGATTTGTTATGCAGCAACAGATAATTCACTGATTAAAGAAATCAAAGGCCTAAATAAATGGACATATACTAATTTCATAGATTAGACAATTCTAAATTGCTACAAGAATCTTCCCAAATTGACCCATCATTTTACTACAGCCCCAATCAAAATCCAGTAGCTTTTTTTTGAGTAATTGAAAAACTGATTCTAAAACTAAGAAATTCCTAGAATAAAACAAGGAAAAGTGTTCTATCTTGGGGTCAGGTAGAATTCTTAGACACAGTATAAAAACACAATCCACTAACAAAAGCTGATACATTGTATTTCACTAAAATTAAAAAAAAAAAAACAACTGCTCTCTGATGGACAATGTTTAGATAAGCCATAGATAGGGGGCCTCCCTGGTGGCGCAAGGGGTTAAGAGGGAACCTATGAAACTGTCTGCAGCCACTGCATCATGACTTCGATCCCCGGTCCCCTGCCAGCCAGGGAGCAACCCACATGGCGCAGGAGACCTCTCCTGACTCACCCGCTGCTCCCCTCAGCAATGTACTTTGGTCAAGCTGCCTGTTCTGTTCCCTACTCTGTCTCTGGTGGATCCTCTCACCCCCCACGCCTTCTGGCCTGTACTCCAGCTCATGTATGCATAAATGAATAAATCTTTAAAAAAAAAAAAAAGGCCATAGATAGGGAGAAAGTATTTGCAAGATATCTATCTGATGAAAGACTTGAATTAATAACACTTAAAACTCAGCAAGAAAACAAACAACTGAATTTGAAAAATAGTGAAGGGAAAATGTGAAGAGACACATCACCAAATAAGCACTTGAAAAGTCTTCAATATTATCAGGATCAGGTCCATGCCAATTAAAACTACTATGATACATCTCTGCATATTTCTTAGAATGGCTAAAAATAAAACCGAGGGATACCCTGGCAATACCAAATGCTGTCGAAGATGTGGAACACCCACCCCTCCCTTCACGCCCAGGTCCTGCCAATCGCTGGGCTTCTGCGCCAACAGCCGAGCCTTTCTGGAGGGCCGCTTCTACCATGAGAAAGAAAGCATCAGTCTGTCTCGTTTAAGAAGTTTTTGTTTGGGGTTTGGTTTCTTGCTTTCTTTTTTTAATTCTAACCAAAGCTAATTCTAACTACACACAATTGGAATTTATTCTTCACAGTGCCGGAGGGCAACTGCCTCAGGACTCCTGCGGGACAGGCTCCGAGGGCTGACGGCTCCCACTCTACTCCCAGTCTGGTTAGTGACGTCCCATACAATTCCACTAAACCCCCTTCTCTGCTGAAGTTAGACAGAATAGGTTTTTATCGCTTGCAAACAAAGATCCTGAACCTAAACAAATTTTATATACTTGGAAGAATTCAAAGTGTGTAGGCTGAGTGTCTGTTGTGTGAAGAAAAGAAAAAAAAATTGGCCAGGATATAATTCCAGACTCAGAGCAGCACCGTCACCCCCGCTTTCAGATGCTGGTGCTGATCGCACCCGTACCTGTGGCCCAGTGGTAGATGTCCCAGTCATTACTGGGTTCGTTGATCAGGCGATCGTAGAGGTTTAGCTGCTTCTCTGTCATACGGTGCAAATGTTCTTTGGCAAAGAGGCTAAAAACGAGAACGAGAAAGGCAGAGCCGAGAACGTTAAAAAGGTGGTCGTTTCTGCTCAAAGCCCAGTAACGCCAAGATCCCCAAGACCCCCAAGACCCACCTCAGCAGAATGCAGTTTTCCAGCATCCCCCTCTTTCTGCTCTCATAGAGCAGGCGGGCTCTCTTGGTTTCTATGGATTCATCGGTTCGCTCCTGCCATGGAGGCAAAGGGATTTCAATCATGTCTTTTTGGGAATCTGCTGGGCTGTCACCTCTGTAGCAGCGTCTGAATGATGTCACGCTGAGGGAAGGTGACACGAGACGGTGACTTGACAGGGCGAGCATCTGAAACAAATGGGGCACAAGCACCTTCATGAGAACAACTGTCATCACTGTCACTCACTCAATGCCTGCTGGGGCTCAGGGCATCCGAGCTCATGTGGTCCCTAAGACGTTACGCTGACGCTATCCCCACTTTACAGCTGAGGAAACCGAGGCTCAGAGACATGAAATAACTTATCAAGGTCCCCCAAATAGCAATTCCAGTTAGGACTGGAACCCAGCCCTCACTGCGAGCATAACCAGTGCCTTCCCAGAGATTCTCCAGCTGAAATATTTCCCACTTCCTTGCATTCCCTTAAAATTCCTCCAGTATGGTATGTATGCTATCACTACGTCTATGTTAAAATCGAACCTGAGCATGGAGGGGGCATGCTCCTTAATCCCTAATTCCAAGAGCAAAAACTATCAAGATGTGATGAGAAGGTGGTGATGTCAGCATGATGGCTGACTAGGAAGCCTCACACACCCCTCTCGTAGAGACCCCGGCTCCACAATACACAGACCAGTTCCCTTTACAAGGATCCAGAAACCTGTTTAGAGGCTCCTGAACTGCAGGAGCGGACAACAACTGCACCAGAGCAGGAAGGGAAATTCATGGCATCATTCACTGTAGTCCCTTCCTCTTCCCCATGATGGTGTGATGAGAGGAAACTCCCCGCTCCTGGCTTTTCAGGGGGCTGTCTAAAGGTCTCGTTTTTTGCCTTGCCTACATTTAAATGCTGACAGGCAGAGGCACCAGGGTGGGGGCTGCTGAGGACAAGGGACACTCACCCACTGTGGTCCCTAACCCTCACTTGGCACAGAACAAGCAGGAGAAAACCTCCAACTTCTGACTTTTCCCTGGAGGAAAGAGTTGTAATGTGTGTCCAACATTCTAGCTTTTTCGGGAGCTACCTGTGAGACTGGTTTCTGCCTCGCCTATCAAAGCACCAACAGGAGCCAACAGTTAAAGATAACTGGGGGCTTATGAGAACAGAGAGCTGGGAATGTCATTGCTGCTTCCGAGGACCCCATGGTACAACAGACAGAGGCCAATATAGCTTGGCAGCCTGTCCTCTGGAGTGGGTTGGGCAGAAGACGTGCGGAACATGCATCCAAAGTTCCTGATTTTCAGGGAGCTTCCCAAATAACTGTTTCTGTCTCTGCCAACTTGCAGCACTGATAGGACCTGGCATCCCTAGACATCTGTAGAAACCTGGTGGCTGCGGAGAACAAGAGCTCCAAGAACCTGCAGTACTACAGACAGACAGGAGAGGGGGCAAAAGATCATGCGCTCCTGAAAAAGGAAACAAACAAATCCCCTCTGAATGAGAATTTACACCTTCAAATGTAGAGAAAACACATCCACAGAAAAGGTTTGAGAGGAACCCAGCATCTCTGGATGGGATGACTGGTGAAGATCTCTCCCTGTACGGGTCCAGCCCAAAAAGTGTAGGTCCCAACACAAATTTTCAAAGGGCAGCAAGAAACAGGACTCATGACCTGTTCAAAAGAACAAAATAAAATCCTAGAAACCAACCACCCGAAAGAAACGGAGGTTGAAGAATTACCTGTCAAAGAATTCAAAATAATGGTCATCATGTGCACAATGAGTTCAGTAAAACAAAGACTGTTAACAAAGAAAATATAAGAACTGAACAGAAGTTTTACAACTGAGGAGTAACTGAATTGAAAAATTCACTGGCAGATTTGATCAAGCAGAACAATCGATGAACTCAAAGACAGGTTACGTGGAATGACCCAAGCAGAGGAAAAAAGAATGAGTGTGAAGAATGGTGAAGGGACTTCTGGGACACCATCCAAGGGACCAATAAACACACTATGGGAGTCCCACTAGGAAAAATGAGAAAGGAGCATAAGCTTACTTGAAGAAAGAAAGGTCAAAAATTTCCCAAATCTAGGGAAAGACATGGACATGCAGATTCAAGAAGCCCAAACGATGCTAGACAGCAATGATGAAGCACAAAGTTCACCGATAAAGGTAAACCCTGCAATATTGTACAGTGGCGTAAAAGACAAAAATATTTTAAAATCTACCAAAATATGCTAGTGGACTTACAAAAATGTGAAATGGTGACACATCAGTAACATAAAGTAGGAAATAAAGGAACAGTTTTGCATGAGATTAAATTGTTAAATTATACTGTTATCAGCATAACTTGTTTTATGAACACTGCATCCTACCCACAAAGTTGTACACATTAGAGAAAGGAATCGAAGCAAGTATCTATCAAAAAAAAAAAATCAATGACACAAAGGATGTCAGCAAGCGAGGAAAACAAACACAGGAGCTACAAGACAGAAAAAACCAAACGGTCACAGAAGTCCTTCCACAGATTGAACTCCCCACGTCAAAAATACAGAGTGGCTGCGTAAGTAAAACAAGATCCAACTATATACAGTACACAAGAGACACACTTTAGGTGTAAAGATACACACAGGCTGAAAGTGAAAGGATGGAAAAACATCCTGTGCCAGTGATAACCAGAACATACTAATGTCCCTAGTTATGTCAGACAAGAGATCTTCAGTCAAAAACTGTCACAAGAGCATTATATGACAGTTTGATTCACCAAGGAAGCTATAACAATTACATATGCAACCAACACCAACGAGAACACTCAAATGTATGAACCAGAAAACACTGGCAGAGGTAAATGGAAAAAGAGATATCAACACAATGTTAATAATTTAATACCTGAGGACTTGAACATGACAGAGCAAATGGAACATACAGAGAACATCCTGCCCAAGCCCCCTTCGGGACAGTTCATGAATAGGTCACCAAACAAGTTAGCAAATTTAAGACAGAAATCATCCCAGGTCTCCTTTCTGAGCACAATGAACTGAACCCAGAAATCAATAGATGGAAAACTGGAAAATTCACAAATACTTGAAAAATCAAATGTCATGCTTGCTCCTGAACAATGGCTGCTTTAAAGGGGCCAAAGAAGAAATCAAAAAGGAAATTAGAAACTATCTCGAGACAAATGAAAACATAAACATACAAAAACCACGAGCTGCAGCACCAGCAGCCGAGAGACGTTCCGCAGCGAGGAAAGTCTGCATTCATGAGAACCACCTCACGATCCGGCATGAAATCACCCCAGGGCAGCAGGAGACATGAAGGGGCGCCCAGAGGCGGTCGGGCGACCTTCACCTGGAAAATCGGTAAAATCCGAGCCGGGCTTCCCACGAAGAGGACTCGGCCCGCGCATCCCCACAGACGCGCGGCGGGCTCGGGCGGCGGCGCAACGACCCGCGTCTCCTCCTAAGTGGCGGGGTGACCTCTCCAGGGCCGCCCTCGCCGGGCGCCGCCAGGCAGCTGGACGCGCCCCGCGGTCTCCATGACAGCGGAGGACGCCGAGACCCAGCCCTCGCCGCGGCCAGCCCAGAGCCCTCACGCCGCGCGATGTGCTCACCCGCGCCAGAGCCGGGGCCACGGCCACCGCCGCCATCTTCCCCACCCGCGCCGGAAGCCCGCTCCGGCCTCTTCCGGGAACTCCCGGACGCCAGGCCCGAGGACGCGGGCGCTGCAGCCCCGAGCCGGAAGTAGCGTCCGTGCGTGTGGCGGAAGTGGCTGTGCGTGTGACGCCGGCGGGGGGGGCGGGACCCGGGGCTGAGAGCGGTTCGCGCGCTTCGGGCCTAGTCCGGACTCGCCAGCGCCGCCGCCATATTCCCGGTAACGGGGGCGCGCGACCGAAGCCCGGCTGGGCCGGAAGAGGGCTCCGGGCCGGCGCCGCGGCGGGGAGGGGGTCGGTTGAGTTTGGGGCTGCGGGACCCCGCGGGCAGAGGGAGGCGCGGGCCTTTGAGGGAGGGGGCCGAGGGCGCCGGGCCGGGTCTGTGGGGAGGGAGCGGGGCGGGCCTCGCCGGGAGCGAGGACTGGGCCTGGGAGGGATGCGGAGCGGCTGGAGCTCCGGGACGCCCGGGGCCTCCGGCCGGCGCCGCTCCGGGCCCTAGACAGGTGCGGCGGGCCGGGGCTGCGGGCTTCGCCGCCGTCGCTCTTCGGACGCGCCGGCCGGGGCCCCGAGGAGCAGAGGCCTGGACCTTCCCGGCGCGCCTCGGGAGCTGCGGCGCCACCCGGGTCGGGCCCGAGGGTGATGGGCAGCGAGGCCCGCGAGCCCGGGAGACCCGGGAGAGCGAGGGGCGGCGCGAGGCCGGGGGCGGGGCGGAGCGGGTGGGGCCGAGCTCGGCGGCCGGGATGCGGCGTCTCTGGAGACGGGAGGGTGGCAACCTTTGCCCTCCTCCCACCCGGGACCCTCCTGCCTGCTAACTCCTGCCTTTTTCTGGGTACCGCAGTGGCATCCCTTTCACTTTGTCCATTCTCCGGGCTCGCGATCACCCTTCCGGAGCCATGTCAGAAGGAGTGGACTTGATTGATATATACGCTGACGAGGAGTTCAACCAGGTGAGGGCTCTTCGTGAGCGCTGGGATCTACCTCGGTCAGCCCGTGAATCATTTCTAGCAAATTTGCAGCGGTTCCGTGCTGTGCCAGCCCTTGAGGATTTGCTAGGCCTGAACACGCCTCTGTCAGGTCTACAGTTTTACCTCTAGCACAGACTTCCAAGACTTAATGATCACGCCACTTAATGTTAAGTTAAGCCTCCAGGCTTAATTTTAAAGGCTTTAACTTAAGAGTAAATAAAAATCGGGTTTAATAGAATGGTGAATCAACGGGTGGAACTTGCTCCCCCAGGAAGCCAAAGTTGATGTCTGTCCTCAATAGCTAATCATACTTTAAAGTCAGAGTTGTTTGCTGTGAATGTTGAGGGCAGTGGTTATACTTTATGATTCACCCCATAAGACAGTGCAAAGGCACACTGTAAAAGATCTCTTAACATTTACTGTCAACTCCATTCTGATTGTTTTACCTTTAGTAGCTTGACTCCAGTTTGAGAAGTCCATAGGCATTTTGGTGTAGTAAGTGTTAATGATGAATATGATTTTTCAGGGATACAAGGGCTGCTGGGAAAAGGAAAGTGTTAGACAAACCAGTTAATAAACAGGTATAGACCCACTCACCCTAAGTCACATTTGTTCCCCTCTTTATGTTATGTCAGGGAACAGCATACAGTGATTCGAAACAGTACTCTCCTGCAGCATAGTTCTGGCCTCTGGATGAGGTCAGATCTTAAGCATGTTCTGCGGTCTCTTGAAAACTTACTAACGTTTGGCCTGGATTGTTTTCATTACCATTGTACTTGGTGAGCTGGCTTTTCCCGCTGGCATCTTTCAGTGGGTACACATACAGACCTGTAAAGAGGATAAAAGCAAACTAGAGGAGAAAAGTACCCCCGCTTTACCCTGACTTTTATATGAGACAACAAAAGAAATTGACCCATGTCATTTTTTTCACTTGGCATGGGTTAACATATACAAGTCATTTTTTATGTATTATGCTTTTTTTTTTTTTTTAAGGCATGTTTTTTATTTGTTTGTTTGTTTGTTTTATACATGCACTGGGTACAGTCAGAAGCGCGGGAGGGTGAGAGAATTCACCAGAGTCAGAGCGGGGAGCAGAGCAGGCAGAGGACCGAAGTACACTGCTGAGGGGAGCAGCAGGCGGCAGGAGAGGTCTGCGCGCCATGTGGGACCCTCCTCTGGTGGCCGGGAGCAGCCGGGGATCGAACCGGCGCCGCGGAGGCCGCGGGCAGCTTCGCAACCCAGCGCTCAACCGCTGTGCCACCGGGGAGGCCCTGTATTATGCTTTTTTAACTTGGAGATTTAGAACACACACCAAAGTGGAGAAAATATTGTAATGACCTTGTACTTATTATATATACTTTTCAGTAGGCATCTTCCCATGTCTCTTAAGGTAAATTAGTCATTTAAACGTGGTTGCCGATTGGCTTAAATGTACAAAAAGCTTTTTTAATTTCAGAAAAGGTTTAATATGGGAAAAAGAAACGTTTAGTATATTAGTTTAGTTGTAAACCATTACCTTCCACATTTTTTCATATTGCTTTGAATCAGATTTTTACTACTGGGTGCAAATTACGGGGGTGTTTTAAAAGTTAAGACAGCAATGAAATAAGTTTCTCTTCGTTCTTTAATAGTGAAAAGCCTCCCCCCACCTGCACCCCCCGTCCTTCCCCACCTCATGTTCCCTGTCTGTGGGTAGTCACAGCACTGCCGCTCGCCTCAGGAAACAGACTCGGTGACCGCAGCTTGGGCTGCATTTGTCTGAGAAAATCAGATTTCATGATTTCTTACCACAGCGTGGGCCATAGAGAGGTCGCAGGTTTCATCTGATGGTCATTGCTTGTCAATGTAGAAGTTGTTTGGCTGGACAGATTTTTTTGCCTCTTTAGTTAAAAAGAAATTTTTTTGCATTTGTGATAGGCCTAAGATGGTTTGTGGGCGCTAGTAGGCGTTTATACCCGACAATAGTTGATGTTTGGGAAGCTGAAGAAGTGTAACTGATGTTGAATGTCTTATGGAAAAGGTGAGGGGAGAGGTGCTTTTTGCCCCCACGAATGAGTTAATTTTGGGTAAAACTGGTTTTATTGAAAACTACTGAAGAAATAATAAAAGTTCTGTCTGGCTAAGATTGTTAGTAACAGGCTTATTCTGAAAGCAGCTAATTCCAATTGTGTTTTAGAATGTTCCTTATTCACCCCTAGCTTACCTGTGCACAAGAACCCCATCATATATACTTTACTCCAGAGGGAAATTGAACAGAATTCCTAGCTAGAACCCCTGATCCCTTACAACATGTGCTGCAGAGGCCTCTCTCGCAGAGCTGCTTTATTCCTGTTTCGTTGGAGTCTTGGGCTCTCTTGAGTAGGGGAGAGGAACTTCAAAGGGGACTGAAAGTTGCCACTCAGCTGAGTGTTTTGTCTCTCTTCCTTGTACTAAGACAGGACAGTATGAACAGTTTTCTTCCTTCTATCAGTATATGTTTATTGAATTGCTGTTCTTTGCTAGCCAGTGTCAGAACTAGTCAGAAAGCAGGGAAAAATGAATCCCTGTTTTCAAGTGGATCCTTGTGTTCTGTTCCCATTGCTGGAGAGCAGTGGAATCTGTGAAAAATGAAAATAGTATTTATAAGACCAGAAGCCTTGAGGTTTGGTTATAAAGAGAAACAATGGAATCAAGTAGGTTGCTTTGAGAAAAATAAATGCAAGACTTTACTACTTCCCTTAGATATCAGTGAGAGGGAGGTGGGAGGGTGAAGGATAGGGACATCAGGTATACAGGTAGGGGAAGATATAAATTCAAGATCAGGGCCTCTCTGGTGGCGCAAGGGGTTAAGTCTGAGCACTATGAAACTGTCCGCAGCCACTGCAGCTCAAATTTGATCCCTGACCAGGGAGCTGACCCACATGGCGCAGCAGACCTGTCTCACCTGCTGCTGCCCTCAGTAGTGTATTTCAGTTGTTCCGCCTGTTCTCCCTGCTCTGTCTCTGGTGAATCCTCTCGCCACCACCCCCACCTCTGGCCTACACCTCAGCTCTTGTATGCATAGATAAAATAGATCTTTTTAAAAAAAAAATAAGTAAATTCACGATCATTCCAGTTCTTTGTTAACCACACAGTTCCATGTTAAACACAAACTTCTTCCTGAGTTGTCCAGTCAGTATTAATACATGCTTATTAATTTCCCTGGAATGAAACCTGCAACATCAGTGCACATAAAGCCTTGGTTTCTTTCTTTCTTTCTTTTTTTTTTTTTTTTTTTTCCATTTAATTTGTAGAATTAGGTTTTTCATTAACCTAATCCCTCATTGCATAAATCTCCAGCTCATTTGGCGACCAGCAAAACCTCCGACCTTTATTTTTTTCTTAGCAGTAGAATTAAAGTGATTTGGTGTTGCTAGCAGATTTTAGTCCAGGCATAATTTGATACATTGTTTCTTCAGTAAAATCTTCAACAGAATTTTTAGAGGCCTGCCCTATGCTTGCAAAAAATTCTGTCATCTATGAGCTGGGAATCTGGTGACAATTTTACAGTCATTGAATCCTTTGTGTTTCTTAAAATGGCAAGGTAATCTGTGCACCATGGTCTTCCAGGGTTGAGTCTATCAATCCTTCCAGGGACCCTGGAATAGTAGTCTTTTAGCATAGGAGATTTCCTGGTGATACATTGGATCTTTGAGCTGTCTAGATTTGCACTGTCTAGATTTGTCTAGATTACCAACTTTTAGTGGGAATTTTTGTATTACAGCTTTCAGGCACACATCTCTGAATCACAAATACTGCGTGGAAGGAATCCACTGACTATCCAAGATAGAGTGTTTCCATGTTTCCCTGTAAGTTCCATTTCAAGGTCCTTGATCAACAAATAAAGCACTCTAGTGTTGAGGTAGTGCCTTCTAAGGGTTAGAGCAGTGGAGAGCAGTCTATGGTGTCTGCCTTTCTCTCTTTTAAGCCACAGGGCAAATCTCCATACCTAGTACATGAATGAATGAAAAAGTGTTTTGTCTAGAGTTGGAATTCCTTGGGGCATAAGGACTGTGAAATGTTATACCTACAAAATGTCTCTTAAACACTAGCTACCTTTACTTTGTTACTCACCCTGTACTCCCCAAGTATTTTTTCTCTACCTGTTCTCTTCATGCTTACCCTTTTTGATGCAAGCTGCCTGCTTACAGGGTTAGCTACTAGATGATAGTTCATTTATCTCACTGATGCCTTTTCTTGTTTTTAGGTTGCTCCTAAAATGTTTACTCTTTTGCCATTTTCATTCTGATGTTTTTATAAGGTTTAAACTCTTCTTAGAGTATTTATAATGTTGGAAATTATTGACATGTCTCAGGAAGCACAATCCTTTCTCCTTCACTATCAGAAATATTTGATAGTTTTATCTTAGTTTGTGTGTTCTTTGTACTTCAGATCAGCTGAAAAACTCTTTCCAAAAGTTTGTGTTCTTGTGCAGTCTGAGAATGAATTTAGTAATGAGTCGCTGCTCTCTAGGCTTCAGAATGGGCCGTTCTTGTGATGAAAGTGAAGGGGAAAGTGGAGCTGCCTGTCTGAAGCCGCATTAGAAGAAGTGACTCTTTATTCAGGGAACCGGACAGGCTACCTAACTTAGGTTCCTTCGTTGCCTCTTTACAAAAGAACAGCAATGACGTAACTGAGCTGTCGTTTCTGTAAAGCACCTTGAACTGTTGCTTGTCTCTTATCATTTTGGCAGCATCACCTTTAGCTGGAACGTTTCAGAATCTTATCTGAAAGAATGGTGTCTGACTCTTAAATACAAAAGATCTGAGTTGATGACATTGCAAAATCTGGAACATTTGGTCCCTTGATAGCAGAAAATTAAGATCCCTTGATAGTGGTTTTTGTGGTTGTAGGATTTTGGGTGTATAGTTATAGCTTGAACTGCTATGACAATACCAAAGCGGGGGTCATCTCTCAGACTGCAGTCTGGAAAGCCAAAATGAGGTTCAGTTCTGACTGGATTGTATCTGCTTTTTACCTCCTCATATCAGAGCAGAGCAGGCAAACTCACTCTTGATTCTTATAAGGGGCACAAATCTCATTCGTGAGAGCGCCACCTGAAGACCTAGCCGAATCCTAATGGCCTCCCAGAGACCCAACCTCTTAATACCATTACACTGGGTAGTAAGGTTTCAACATGTGAATTTGGAATGTATACAGACATTCAGCTTACAATGTAATAATATTGCATAGGCAAAAGGTACATCTTAAGTATCTTTCAGAGTACGCATTCATATTATAAATGCTTGCTTTGACAGCATATGGTGAGAATGCTTGTCCTGTGTGTATGTTTAACACCTCTGGGATTACTCAAGGGTGTCTTTTAAGTGTAATGGAAATGTATTGGATCTGCATGTCATTTGAGAAATAGAACTTAATAAGGGAAAACCCTCAGTTTTCCCTTCTCATTTATTTATATTTTTAAGGTGTCTTTGATGGTTGTTAAAAAAATGGGATTATGTACTGACTTTTAGAGCCTCTCTGAATTGTTTGTGTAAATCAGTGGTTTAAATCAGTAACTCCCAATTGTTTGCATTTTGGTACCATCTTTGACATGCTCTTTCTTTGCTTTCTATTTCTTTTCTAATTTATTTTATTTATTTATGCATACAAGAACTGGGGTGTAGGCCAGAGGTGCAGGGGGTGAGAGGATTCACCAGAGACAGTGGGGAGCAGAACAGGCAGATCTACTGAAACGCACCGCTGAGGGGAGCAGCAGGTGAGACAGGAGAGGTCTGCTATGCTGTGTGGGTTGCTTCCTGGCCAGGTATTGAACTCATACTGCAGTGGCGATAGCTTGATAGCACTGAGACTTTAACCCCTGAGCCACCAGGGAGGGCCTCTTTGCTTTCTATTTCTAAACATTACTGAATTTACTCTTTAAGTAGTTTTATGTAACTCTTTATTTTGGAAATAACTAAAGGTGTTGAAAATAAATTTTCATTAGTGTATTTCAACTTCAGTTTTTAGAAACTGACAGTGATTAGTAATACACCTCTATGCATCCCTACTTTTTGTTTTATCATGATGTCCGTTTTTCTCACAGGTGACTAGAGATAGAAACATTGCAGATTATTAGCAGAGTCTTGGGGAAAAACCTACATAAGCGTAATTAACTGAAATAGTTTTAAATGGGCAAGTTTTTCTTACCCGCGTTTGCTAGAGTAGAGGAAGTTTTCTATGTTACTTTACAAAGTATCTGACTGGATTCTAGGTAAACTAGAGTGAAATAGAATGAACAAAATAAAAGGTTCGCAAACCCACCTTTGCCGACCCCCCCATCTCTTAGGACCCAGAGTTCAACAATACAGATCAGATTGACCTGTATGATGACGTGTTGACAGCCACCTCACAACCCTCAGATGACAGAAGCAGCAGCACTGAGCCACCTCCTCCTGTTCGCCAGGAGCCATCTCCCAAGCCCAATAACAAGACCCCTGCAATTCTGTACACCTACAGTGGCCTGCGCAATAGGCGAGCTGCTGTCTACGTGGGCAGCTTCTCCTGGGTGAGCATGGATAACCAAAAAGGCTTATGGGTGGCTGGAGGGAGAGCCCTGGGAGGTGATGGCATTTTCAAAAATGGATGTTGCACTGTTTTTGTGCTCTGATGGGGTTGGATTTCTTTTTCCTGGGATCAGGTTGGATTGATCTCTGAAAGAGAACTATCCTGAGGACGTACTGGTGCCGAAGAAAGCAATGATTGAGTGGGTAGTTGCTTTTTCTGCCATCTTGTTACAGGCCCCTGACCCTGGGGCTTTATGTCTAGCAGGGTCCTCTGTGGGATAAGATTTCAGAGTGAACACCTTAAGCTCTTGGTGATCATGAGATCATTCTGTTACAATGGTGGGTGACAGGGATCAAAGACCTTGATAGCAGTAGTACACTTGGGTGTGATTGTTGTTCTGGGAGTTATTGTGTAATGTGGTTTTAGGCTAGTGGTGGGTGAAGTTTTTCCAAAGTAGAAAATGCATTTACTGAGAGGAAAGTTCCTGGCATTGGTCGATTCTGACCTGTCAGATCTGTAACTTAAAACTGCTAGTAATCAGCGCTTGATCTGATGGCCAGGCAGCCCAATTGGTAGTCAAATTTAAAATAGGTTTTAATCTTCTTAATCTGTAAGATGGGGGCTGGGGACGGGGTGAGTTTGGAATTCTGTATCTTTGAGAACAATAAGAAAAGTCTGCACTAATGGAAACATGAATGGGCTTTGGGGTTTCCTGTGGAGGTCATGAGGTTGTGAGTAGAATCCAGGTTTGGGACAAGGGATTGGGACATTCTGGGGTGGGGGTTGTAGTTCTTGACATTTCTTCCTTTTCCATCTTGCCGGCCCCAGTGGACCACAGACCAGCAGCTGATCCAGGTTATTCGCTCTATAGGAGTCTATGATGTGGTGGAGTTGAAATTTGCAGAGAATCGAGCAAATGGCCAGTCCAAAGGGTGAGGTCTGGATTTGAGAAGCCCCTTTTAGTTTGTAACCATTGGGATAACAGATCTGCACTGAATTTTGACCCTGGATTTTAATCCCTCTCACCCCTGGCCCAGTTTTTCTGCCTTGGTTTTGGCAAACTGCTTTAGAATGGGGACCTCACTGGAATGTAGTAGAATATCCATCACTGAGGGGCAAAGAAAGCTGATTTTTAATTCCAAGTAAATAGGAAGTTTATAGGCTTACACCTTTTTGTTGTTGGGAGTTTTATGAATGTGTTTAATGTTATTAGGATACCCTTTGCTTTACTAATCTTTACTAAAAGGGGAAGAGAATGTCTTGTTCATCTCTCAGTTGTCTAGTAGATCTCACACATTTTTAATATTTCTTCCTCAAGGTATGCTGAGGTGGTGGTTGCCTCTGAAAACTCTGTTCACAAATTGTTGGAACTCCTGCCAGGAAAAGTTCTTAATGGAGAAAAAGTGGATGTGAGGCCGGCCACCCGGCAAAACCTGTCACAGTTTGAGGCACAGGCTCGGAAACGTGAGTGCGTCCGAGTCCCAAGAGGGGGTACGTGGAGACCATCTGTATGAAGGGGGGAAAGTTGTGGGTTTGTTTTCTTTGATGTAGGCCCGGCCTACAAATGTGGAGGCATTTAGGGGGAGGGCGGTGGTGGTTATGTTTGGTGGCATGGTCAGTGATTGGGCCAAAAAATGAGGCTGTGTACAAAAAAAGAGCACTGTGCTGGGAGTCAGGTAGGTTCAGGTTATAGTTTGGTTTTGTTACTAACTCACTATGTGACCTTGGGCAAGTCCCTTTACTGCTTATTTCCCCTTCTGAACTTGATATATGATGTTTAAGTTTCTGTGAACTTTAAATTATGTGTTTCTATCTAAAAAAAAAATTAAAAAAAAAACCTGCAGTGAATATGCGCTTAACTGTAAAACATACCTCTAAATTATCAAGAAGCAGCCACCCTAAAATGTAAGTAAATTGTGAAAAGATGGCTGTAATCTTGTCGTAAACATACATCGGTAGGGCGCTCTGTAAGGAATGCTGAGGAATACGAATTTAATCCATTTCTCTAGCATTATCCAAGAAAGACGGTGCCCTTTTCATTACCGAATATTAGGGGGAAAGCTTGCACAAGCCTGCCTCAGCTTGATGGTAATCTTCCTTACGTTTACCTTACTCCCTGCCTTCTGCTCTGTACTCGCCAGGCCACCTTCTGATACTAATTTGGTTTCCCAACGAGGCTCTGCTCCTAGGAAGAGAATGCACTGCCCAGCGCCACAGTGTTCGGGTCTGCTTGCAGTTAGAGTTCTCATTGTAAATTAGTAAGTTGGTGTTCTGATTCATGATTCAGTGTCTCGTGAGTTTGGTTAGTGTGGATCAGTCTCCTAGAGTCCTGTCACCCATGGGTAAAGTAATAAACCAAGTTTCTGAATCTTCACAACCTGAGGACCAGACCTTACAGTGTCCCAACCTTGCAAGATGTGGCCTTCTTACAAGGCTCGGCCTGAAGCAGCCAGCCACCTTTATACTTTTTTGTACAGTGGGGAGGAGGTGGGAGATGGCAGAGTTTCATCACCTATGTTCTACACAGGTCCTGCTTAGGTGCTGCTCAAAATAGTGCCTGTATTGATTGGATGGTCCACTGGGACCTTGTGTTGGTTGGTTGGAGGTAGAAAGGTAGCTCCTCTTTGGCATAGGAGCTACGATTTTCTTTTAACGAGATCAAGAGCCCAGAGGGGTGTGATGTGAACTCCCACTACTCTAGGTTAAAAGACACATCTCTTGACACCTTGAATTTTCAAGTTCCCTCTGTTTCAGAATCTTTGTATAATTCAACCCTCTCTGACTTCCTTAAGGTGCATAATTTTACTGCTAATTTGAAGATTCGTGTATACCTCCACTTGAGTGTGTACACCTTGGTGTGACCTTTCTTTGCTAAATGATGGTGGTGACTGAGTGTTACTTGTTCTGTCACATTAATGGGCTTGAGTTCTGTTAATTCATGAAGTACAGCTGGCAGACTAACTTTGTCTAAGAATGCTTACTACTTTTGGGATTTATAGCCATAGATACTCTAGAACCCTTGCAAAAGTGGGAACAGTAGCTAGGAAGGTGGCTGACTCTCAGGGGATCATACTTACTCTACCTCCTCTTCACTGTGGGAGAACTCCGGGAAGAAGCAGATTGCCACGTGCTTGAGACATGAAAAGCAAAAGAACACTCATGCGGCTCTGCGGTGGGTGCGCCAGGGTGAAGGTCAGGGTGATCAGTTCCACCTCGTGCTTTCACCAGGACTTGGGGGTTACTAACAAGTGTTAGTGTGGGTCCACTACTCTTCCTCTTCACACTTAGCTGGCGGCATCTTTCTACCTCTGATGCTGTCAGGGCCTTGTGATTGTGTTCTCCTTTTGGGTTCCACTTCAGCCAGGCTTAGATCATTAAATGGAAGAGGGAACAAGTGTAACCAAGTGACTTGACAGTGTCAGAGCCATGTTTCTAACAGTGTAAACATGTTTTGAGCCCCTGTGGTGCACCACAGCATGCAGCAAGCGGTGATGCTACTCCCTGCGGACTGCCTATGGGGTAGAGGGTTTGGGCTATTGAAATGGAATGGGACTTCCCCAGACTTGAGGTGTGTCTTGTACTAAGGTTTTGGTAGGAGCTCCTCCTGTCATCGTGTGCCATCTGTTCATTCCGGCGGCAGATCTTTCCTTGGCTTATCTCCCATTTCTCTGTACATTCACTTAACCTTCAGTCTTCCACTCTTGTGTCTCTCTTCCATATCCAGGTAGCGGTTTTGGTAACTGGATGGAGGAAGTTCATCTTTCCCCTGCCCTTCCCTTTCTTTGCCCAAGTTCCTTGGCCGAAGTGCCATGGCAGAGAGAAAGCCTCAGTGTGCTGCAGGACATAGATGGTCAGCTGGTGCTGGTCTCAGAGACAGGCTCTGGATGCCTCTCAGGGGTGTGGGGTGTCAGGTCAGCTTGAGCACAGCTGAGCAGTGGTGAACATCGCGCTGTCATTTGCTTACATTAGAAGTCTTCTGTGTATGAGAATAGGAACAAAGCTAAGGGTAAGTTAAATGTGAAGTAGAGTTCTGGACACAGAGAATTTAGTTTGGTATTGCTTCCCAGGTTTATGTCTTCACTAAGAGTTGCCTCTGACCTTTTTTTCTATGCACCCCCCCCAAAAAAAAAAAAAGTAGTGGACGATTTTTACCTTCTTTCTCAGCTACCTCCATCACCTCAGTTTGGTGTCAGATGACTTGCGGTGTCAGATGACTTGCCGAAGGACGAACTGGTCCAGTGGATACGTCTAAATCATGAGCAGTAACATTAGTTTTGTTTTGTTTCATAGGTATACCTCCACGGGCCCACTCCCGAGATTCTAGTGATTCTGCTGATGGACGGGCCACACCCTCTGAGAACCTTGTACCCTCATCTGCCCGCGTGGATAAGCCCCCCAGTGTGCTGCCCTACTTCAATCGCCCTCCTTCAGCCCTTCCCCTGATGGGTCTGCCCCCACCCCCGATCCCACCCCCACCTCCTCTCTCCTCAAGCTTTGGGGTCCCTCCTCCTCCTCCTGGCATCCACTACCAGCATCTCATGCCCCCTCCTCCTCGATTACCTCCTCATCTGGCTGTACCTCCCCCTGGGGCCATCCCACCTGCCCTTCACCTCAATCCAGCCTTCTTCCCCCCACCAAATGCTACAGTGGGGCCTCCACCAGATACTTACATGAAGGCCTCAGCACCTTATAATCACCATGGCAGGTAAGGACCATCTTGTTCCCTTCAGATCTAAGCCAGGTGTAGTAGGGTAAAAAGCTTTGTTTCCCCTGAGGAAGTAAGTGAGCACTGAACTGTTTTCCCTTGTGGAAACTGTTGCCATAGTGTTGAATACTGGGAAATAGTTGACTGTATATTAAATACTGGTTTTATTTGGGGTTTTTGGTTTTGTGGGGTTTTGTTGTTGTTGTTGTTTTTGCATCTTAATCACTTGATCCAGACTATGTCCTTCATATCCCTTTTAAGGAGCTTGATTAAATTGAGGGCCTTAAGTGACTGTTAGGAAAAGTCTAGCACTGTTGGGTCATGCCAAAATTACAGAATTACATGGTATACATCCTGTCCTTGAAGAGAACATGAGCATGTGAACAGGCTAAGAACCATTTAAGACATCACATTGGAGAGCTTGACCAAGTGACATAGGCTGTAGAATACGGTAAAGATGAGGGGTGTGGACAGTCAGGAATGCTGTTATCTCTGTGCAGCCGAGATTCGGGCCCTCCGCCCTCTACAGTGAGTGAAGCAGAGTTTGAAGAGATCATGAAGCGAAACAGAGCAATTTCCAGCAGTGCCATTTCCAAAGCAGTAGCTGGAGCCAGTGCAGGTAACTCAACTCTTACCTTTGCTACCTTCTTACCTTTAGTTTTCCCATCGTTTTGTCACTTCCACTGGCAAGTAGTTAAAGTTGAAGCACTGTTAGATTCTCAAAAGTGGCATCTTTTGAAAAGCTTTATGTAAACCTGATTTTATGACTTTAGAAAACTAGTGATGTTATTTAATTAGTCTGTGTCTAGACCTACCCCCATGAAAACCAACTAATACCATCAAGCTGCGATATTTATTGTAGAATGAAATTCCTGCGTCATGGAGATCCTGATCTCAGTGGCTATGGTGTCTGTGTAGTGAGGCCAGTACCAGGTGTATACTCTGTGTTTTTAGAAATAAAGACTTGCTATGGAATCTGTTTACATTTGGGCATGTAGGTAGAGCCACTCGACCCTGTGTGGCCGATCTTGAAAGAGACAAGTCTGTGTCAGGCATAAAACGGCCCTTACGGCTGACTCTGGCTTTTCTGTCAGTAGTTAGTGGGCAGAACCAGAAGCCATGATTCTGAGCGTCCTGGGCACAGAATCTTTGGTTCCTAAGAAAAGAGAATATATGAAGTTTCGGGGTTTGGTCCAAGTTTGCTATTATTCGCTTCCTGCCTGTGAGTTTTCCACATGAATATCTTATCAGATCACCTAAGAAATAGGTGAATCCTAAATAGCATCATCTGTTTTCCATCTTTGACTGCAAAATTTGGACCCACAGAATAGGTTAAAGACAGGAAAGTGTGTACAATCTCTTTTTCCACCAGAAAACTTCCGTTGACATCTGGGCGTGGCTTTTTTTAAATTACAAAGTAATACGTGATCATTGTAATAAGTCCAATATACAGGGTGTAGAGAAAATAATCATTGCTCTTCCTGCTGATCCTCCTTCATAGTGAGATGATCTGTGTAATAAATAAGCAAATCTCTATTGCCCTACATTTGTGTTGTTCTCATTCCAGTCATTGAGACCACAAATACCTGCAGAGTAGGCCAATGGCCCTGCCCTAACAGAGCAGACTTCCTCTTGTTCCTCGGGCAACATCGCAGCTCCTCCACTGTCTTTATTGCTGTTGCCTCACTCAGTGGAAACTGCAGTCCTCACTGTCATTGGGCCCCTGTCTGGTGTCATGCTTTCTTGGTATCGTCTTCTGTGCTTAATGCTCCTGACCTAGCTTGGGAAAGGTTCTGCAGCTACTCCCCCACTGCCACAATCCCTGAGCCAGCATTGCTCACATTTGGGGTGTAAAGGGGCTAGTTTTTGATGGCAACATAATTTTACACACACATACCAGAAGTATGTGTTTTATATATGTTACCTATATGAATGCACGTGTGTGATAGGGATTAAAATAATTCAAACTTTGAAATGTGCAGTGTTAATAAAAGGTCCTCTCTATAGGAACCACCATTGAGACCATCTTTTGCAATTTAGTGTTCTCTAGATTTTTTGTGAGTGTAAAACAACATATAATTTTGCTTGATTTTACAAAAATGAAATATTGCAACTTTAAATAAAGTATATATTCTGGGCATCTATTATATTTCTAATGATAATACCTAATACATAGTGAGCCCGTTCTGGGTGTCGCTGTGTTAGCATTTCTCATGGATTATTGTGTTGACATACACATTTACCTTATGCATTTTAGTTACTATAGTAGTCTACAGAACCAGTGTTCCCTAATAAATATATAACTAGACTCTATTGCAGGAGCTTTAACTCGTTCCTAATTCTACAGTACAAAAAATAATGCTGAAACGGACATTGTTTATTAAAAATAATAGAGGTTTTTAGACTTGCTAGGCTAAGAAGTGTGCTGTTTATTTTAATGAATGTTGTCAAATAGCCTCCAGACAATGACCCTCCAATTTATTCATCCCCGGGCAGTGTCTGAGAACATCTATCTGATTCCCGACCATTGGACCCTAAGTGCCATCCTGTTGTATACCTTCTACTTTTGCCTCATCCATTTTATGGTGATTCTGTGAGACATCTAGTTGCTCATGATTTGTGTCCTCCCGAGGTCTCCTTTTGGTCTAGTGAGTTTACTGCCTCAGCTTATCCTTGGCCTTTCCCATCCATCCCCTGTCAGGGGATTACAGTGACGCGATTGAGACGCTGCTCACAGCCATTGCTGTTATCAAACAGTCCCGGGTCGCCAATGATGAGCGTTGCCGTGTCCTCATCTCCTCTCTTAAGGACTGTCTTCATGGCATTGAAGCCAAGTCCTACAGCGTGGGTGCCAGCGGGAGCTCATCCAGGTGAGTTGATGATTGCCTCTGCAGTCTACCGGCCCCGAGCAGTGCTCTTCCAGGCATTGGCACAGGGAGGAAGTGTCTGGCAAGAACCTGACTGAAAGAGCAGACCTGGCCCTCATGTCCTTAAAGGGAAGAAATTAATCAGACGTTTGTATTTTTAAATGTTGTCATGTCTGGAATCTGTGTGGGATGAGACAGTGAGCTTATTGAGCAAAGAAGACACACTGATACAGTTAAGAACATGGGCTTTGGAGCCTTGCATATTTGGATTTGAATCCCAGTTCTGCTCAAAACTACCTGTATGACCTAGAGTATGGATGTTACTCAACTTTCCAAGCCTCATTTTTGAAAAGGGACAGTAGTGGAGTTGTTGGGAAGTATAGCGCTGTTGTGAAGGTTGGGTGAGATAATGCATGTAAGTCTCTTAACACCACCTGATGTATTCATAAGATCTCAACAAATTTAGCTGTTACTATTTAAAAAAGAGAAAAAAGACTAGTCCTCAAAGAGCTGATGTCCTTAGTGTGTCCATGACAGACTGATGTGGAGTGGCTTACACCAATACCAGGAGACACCGAGACACAATACTCTTGGATTTTGAAGTGGAAAGAATGTGGTAGTCCCTGTGAGTGAGTGAAGGATCTTTCCCACAGGAAAAGACATCGGTCCCGAGAGAGGTCACCAAGCCGGTCCCGGGAGAGCAGCAGGAGGCACCGGGACCTGCTTCATAATGAAGATCGACATGATGATTATTTCCAAGAAAGGAACCGGGAGCATGAGAGACACCGGGATAGGGAACGGGACCGGCACCACTGAGAAAGGTGGGACAAAGCCCCATGCCTGGCTTGGGGGTGATCTTCATGAAAGAAAATGATTTCTGGTGAAGAGTTCTCTCTCTTGAAAGCAAATAAAGAGGATAGGGGACTTTTGCCTTAGTTAACTAAAAGTTCGAGAGGACAGATTTCCTCTCGAAATCTGTGAGAACTCTCACCCAGAGCTTGTTTCTTGGCTGTCTTAACCTGGAGACAGCTTGGCGTGCTGGCTGAGAGCTCGGCGTCTGCAGGCAGATGCCAGAGTGTGACACGCAGCTCCTGCGGCCCTATTACTTTCTGTTCTTGGGTCTCCTCACTTGTAAACAGAGATAATAAAATAACTGTCTCATTGGATTGCTAAGTGTTCTGTGAGATAATCCATAAAGCATTTAGTACTCATAGGACTTGTTTAGTAAGTTCTCAATAAATGACAGCCATTGCTCTTACCATTGTTGCATTTAACCCCACCAAACTGCCAACTTAAAAGCAGGAAAATTGACCAGAACTGCAAAGTAACACCACTGCATACTTGTTTTCAAGGTACAGCATTAATTATTTTAAGAATTAATATAAATTTAAAAGATTTTGAAAATCAGGAGGCCTTAAAGGAGAAAACAGATCAAAAAATAAGTTGTCTTTGATAGCTTTAAAGACTATGTACAGGTTACTTGAGTGGAAGAATATCTTTGTTGACAAACCAGGGAGGAAACTTAGTGGCAGCAAGAAGTTTTTAATAAAGCACAAATAGGAAATGGGATTGGATGGACTATATTATATATTAATTTAAAAGTTAAGCTTGGCTAGATCCAGGATTCCAGCTGTATCATCAGGACTTAATCTCTCTGCTCTTAATATTTCAACTCTTTTTCTCCAATCTCAGGCTCCTTGTTGCTGGGATTGGGGGAGGGGAGGGAGCGCAGAGTTACATCCTTCCCACTTATCCGTCCTGACTCAAAGCAGCTGACAAAACTGTTTCCAGTATATAAGTAAAAGAAGGAGGGTTAGTTAAATCTGTCTCTGTGGCATCTTCAGAAGTAGTCTAGACTCTGGCTAGGTTGATGTTTTCGTGGAGCATAGAGACTAGGCTGTTGCATGACCCAGGTGGCTGCTGTGTCTTCTCAAAATGGTGGTTGCAGACTTGCACGTCTGTGGGAATTCTCACTCTTCACATCAAGTACGTTAAGGAGGCCATGGGTTTGGTTTTGTTCAGATTTGGTTGGTCTGAATAATGGTAAGTGGGAGAGAGGGGTAGGAAAAGTTTTTTCTGTTTGGTATCTTTGGGATGGGTAGGTGGATAATTGGATGAAAAGGGGCAAAGAAACCCCACCACTGTGAGTCCTTGTAGTTCACAATGGCTGGACTACAAACAGTGGGAAAGTGTGCCTGTGTTTTGCCTAGTGTCAGTCTGTTAGCAGATAAGAAAATGGTCATGTTATGTTCGACTGTTTGGCCTTATCCCTGCTCTGTTGTTTGGCATTATCTGCCAGTAACTTGTAAACAGTGACAGCTAGAATTTTTACTGTCTTCTATGGCAGACAGATAAGTGGGAAAATGAAAACATACTAATAACATTTTTTACCTGCCTCCCTCTGTATTCCTTTTTTTTTTTTTTTTTTTTTTAAGATTTATTTATTTATACAAGCACTGGATACAGTCAGAAGCACGGGAGGGTGAGAGAATTCACCAGAGCCAGAGGGGAGAGCAGAACCCACAGACTGATGAGGTACACTGCTGAGGGGAGCAGCGGGGAAGGTCGCAGGAGAGGTCTGCACGCCATGTGGGACCCTTGCCGGCAGCCGGGCATCGGACCAGCGCTGCAGAGGCTGCGGGCAGCTTCGCAACCCAGCGCTCAACCACTGCGCCACTGGGGAGGCCCCTCTCTGTATTCTTAAACCGCTAATTTATTCCACAAAATCTTAGCATGTTTAACATGACTGAAACCTAGGACAACCCACAAAAAATCAGGTAGGCGGTAGGTTCCAGCTACTTTGTTCTAGATTTTGCAATCGGTTGAGTTCTGGGAGGTGCCCACATACCCTCTGAGAAAGACAGTTTCATTAGAGGGGGAGCCCAAAACAGCTTTGCCCTAATTCATTCGGTGTCAGGAGTGGGCAGTCTAGCACTCGAGCGGGTCTTTGCTCTAATCCTGTCCCTTCTGTAGCAATGTCGGCATTTTCCTTTTCTTGTTTGAATTAGTGCAGTTGCTGGTGTTACTTGTGAGTCTAGGATCACCCCTCTACCCAGTCCTGTAGCCTGTAGTACATGTCCTTTGATGCGCACCAGGATGCGAGTGACTAGGCGGTATTACTTGGTCCATGCCAAGCATAAATTAATAGTCTCCTGAGCTGTATTCACTTCAGTAATAGGAACTGCATGTCACCACTACTAGTCATTTTGCTCCTCGATAGAGAAAGTGTAAGAGCCACTGATCATCATTACTTTGGAGACTGAGTATCTGAACCTGGAGTTTAGCTGTCATTTTGCCTGGTTTTTATTCTACCTTTAAAACGGGTCTCTTCCTTCCGTTATGAAGATGGTTCAGTTTGAATAACTGAAAAATCCTATAATCCATTAGTTACTAGAAATCAGTTATTAGGCTGGTGCAGGCCTATGACAAGATGAAGAAAATGACTGAAGTGGTTTTCCAATTACCCATTTTTCCCAGTCACCCCTTAGATTCCATGTGAATAGTAATTCAGCACAACTTCTCATATTCTCATGCTAAAGAGAGTTCCATCTGCAGTTACCAAGTTGTAACTTAGGAGGGTTCGTGTTGGGGAGGGCGCATATGGGCCTCACTGATTTTGAGAACTTTGCGAGCACTATATAGTATGGACAGGGGTTCGCTAAGAATAAAAAGTGTGTACCAGCTGGGGCAGCAGCGGAGCAGCAACCTCAGGATTGGCATCAACTCTGGGGCCTGAAATCCGCAGGAATCTCTAGCGTCTGTCTACATTAAACCTTACCACCCAGAGTCATAATCTTTAAGAACTGGGTGGTGTCGTTTACTTCTCTTGTTGTCTAGTTACCCCTGTGTGGATGTGTAGGAACCAATCCCAAAGTACATCTTTCTCGGGATGCGCGTGCACATGCTGTTTGGAGCTTGAGGGTATTCTTAGGTAAGGTGGCTTTCACTTTGTAGTTCTCTTCCGTTGTCTCATCGTAGGACATTACCTTTTTCTGACATACTGTCCTTTTCATCTTATTCCTATCCTCCTGGTTCGGGGAGAATACAGGCTTCTGTTCAATTTTGATCGAATGCAAAGATTTAGAAACCCTGGTGGTATGTAACTGAGAAGGTATTCAGGGTTTTAGTTTTTCCTTTAAAAAAAAAAAAAATGAGACAAGTGCCTGCCTGCATGAAGAAGGCAGACGCCATGACGGATTCCGGAGCTCTCAGCTGAAATATTGCTGTTACAGGGTAGAGTATCTGGCAAGTTGTGGGGGCCTTTCCCTTTTAGCTGTTTTATTTCATATGGTCTGCTTGATCAGGCCACCCCCTGAAGGTTGTTACTGCAGCATTGTAACAAGGCGGGAGTATACTGGGGATCGTCAGTGTGGTGGAGACCTAACAGCTGGCTGCTGACACCTTCCCGTTGGGCAGAAGTTCTTGTCTGTGTGTTTAGATTTCTTGGATAGTGATGACTTACTGTCTTTCATGCCCACACTCTACTGTGTGTTTGGGCCTGGCCAGATCAGTCCTTGCTGATCAGTCCTTAGTGTGTTTCTTGGACCCTGACTCATATCCATCATATGGGGGAAGATTTAAAATTTCTTACGTTTTGATACAGCTTAAAAAAAAATCTCTGGGGCCTCCCCGGTGGCACAGCGGTTGAGTGCTAGGTTGCGAAGCTGCCCACAGCGCTGGTTCAATCCCCAGCTACCAGGCGAGGGTCCCACATGGTGTGCAGGCCTCTCCTGCCGCGCTCTGCTCTCCCCTCTGGCTCTGGTGAATTCTCTCACCCTCCCGCGCTTCTGACTGTACCCAGTGCTTGTATAAATAAATAAATTAAAAAAAAAAAATCTCTGGCTCCGTGTGTGTGCACTTGTGCGCGTGCGCACTGCATACTGACACTGGGTCTGTTTTAAGCAGGGCTTCTTTAAAAGAAGAAAAAAGTTTAGGAGTTTCCTGTGTAAGTACATGCTCTCTGCTAGAATGGCTGGGTGCTTGGGAGTTAATGGCTATGGTTATGTACACACTTTTTTCTTTCTTTCGTATACCTCCCATTTCCAGATTTTTGCCCTCCCCTTAAGGTAAGCTATGACTTGCTCAGCATAGATCTTCTGAAATAGCATTTAAATACTCTGTGTTCCCCTTTATAGCAGTTTTTCTTAAAATGTTGTAGTTTCTATACTTTTCCAGTTAAACTCTCCTTTTTAGTCAGACTGCGTTGAGACCTCGTTTCATTGTCTGTGCTTTGCCCCTAACCTTAAGAAGACATCACTGCTTTTTTCTCTCTACTCACTGTAGCTTCCACCCATTCCCTCACCACTCCCCGTGTCAGATACTCCCAGACAGCTCTGCTTTCTTTCTTTACTTCCTCAGACTTGCATTCTCAGTCTACATTCCTTAATTTGTATGTTGTAATTTTGAAAAATACCAGTGTAGTTCATACAAGCACCTGTTGATCAGAGAGGAACTTCTTTCTAACCTTTGTTTTCTTTTTTCTCTTCTGATGTTCTCATTGCAGGAGTCTGGTTGGAAGCAAATGTTTTTTTAATGGACTTGCATCTCCTCACCTTGATCAGGACTAAAGGACGGAGGCCACTCTACCCCTTTCTCCCTGCAAACCCTAACTCCCTCGACACCCAGGGAATACCCTCTGCCCTACAGAAGTGAAGATTGCCTGGCAGCCCTCCTAATCTCATACCTCCTGTTTGCCAGGGGAAATAACCTAAAGACTTGGTGTAGTTGGGAGGGGTGGCAGACAGAAAGAACATAGTCCAGGCCCCTGGTTTTCATAGAGAATGGTGCTTTGTCCAAGGAAACATACGAGTTTCTGATTCTCCAGGAGCAGTTCAGTGGTGAGGCTAGTGGGAAGATTTTCTTCCCAGAGAAAATGGATCCTCCACGTGGGATCTAGGAGAGTGACTGGGTGTGCCAAATATATACCCAGGGTCCCGCCCTCAGCACTACGTTAGATGGGGCCAAGAGGGTCCAAACCTCTTGCTAACATACCATTTATTTGTTTAACCCCTTTTCCTTCCCAGCCCTTTGAGGTGCACCATGAGGACAGAAATTACCTTAGGAAAAGCTACTCTTGTTCTTGCTTTTCTCTTTTACATATTGATGGTTTGTTTCCCTGACCTCCCAGAGGGCTGAACCCTTGCAGTCCCTGCTGCCCAGCCTCCTCAGTGGATGAAGCAGAGACAGCCCATAAGGTTGCTTTCTGCTGAGGAGTCTTGCAGAGCCAATTACCACCCTCTGCTGCTTTGTGCTTGGTTACCTCTTGCAATAACCAGCTCTACTAGTTGTTCCTTTTCCCTGGGGCTTTTCCATTTCACCTCTGTAGCCCTTCTCCCAGTAAGGCTGCTTCCTTGTTTTAGAGGAAGGTACTGCCATTGGGAGGTGGGGACATCAGACCTCAGCAGCAAAGAACACTTATGAAGTACCAGGAGTGGGGCAGGAGGCAAGCTGGGCAGGACATGGCCTACTTCCATAGGCTTCTCTTTTTTCAGGTGTGATGTAAGTCTGGGCATGCATCCCCCAGGTGCACACTCTTACTAATTGTGGGAGGACCTGGCACTACTAGGTGGGGAAAGTCACAAGTTTGTGTCTTTCTACCTCTCAGCTATTGACTGAATGGCTCCTCTCAGTTTGCCCAGAAGTACTTCCTGCCTCTGCTGCGGGGCATGGAAGAAGTGGAGCCTGACTTGAGTGAGCTCATCTCCGAGATCTAAGGCCCACCAGTCTGGGGGCTGCTTTCTATGCAGGCAGATGGAATTGTTTCCCCATAACACCTACATTGTAATGTGGTTGCTGCTGAAGGACACAGCAGCAGCGGGGCCCTGCAGGACCCGCGGGGTGATGCTACTTCTGTGTGCATCTCCAAGGCACTGACATCTGACGTGAGAAGAGACGAGGCGTGTGAGATGAGACTTGGTGTGAGAGATGTAGGGTCACTGGAGACCCTCCTGGCTCAGAAGGAAAAGACTGAGTTGGACTGAACCCTTCCTCTGTTCCCTGCACGTTTCTGACATAGCCCTCAACTGGTCACAGAGGGAGTCCCCAGGGCTTGGCGAGGCACAGTCCCTTGGGACAGAGGCTACAGGTTTGTAGCTTTTTTTCCCCCGTCTCCCATCCCCACCTGTACTTCAGAACATGGCACCCTGCCCAACCAGCCAAGTGTTAAGTGACGTGCTTATCCTTGAGAGCAGCTCCGGGTGTCTTTTTAAAATGTAGAGAAGCCAAGTAAGGTAACAGTTTAAGGAAAGAAATATATAGAATCCCAGAAAAGCGGTTTACCCGGAGATCTTTTTTCTCCCCTTTTTTGTTTTGTTTTTATTCAGTGACACAATTTTTTAGTTTTATTTCCTGATAGCAAAAGAGAAAAAAAAAAACACCCAGCCCTCAAAAAGGCCAAGGCCCCCGTCCCCCCTGTTGTCGGTGAATTTGTTTGTCTTTCTGATAGGTTGAAAATTGTGTAATAAACTTGATGACGCTGTCAATCTTTTATACTGCATTGTATTTTTTTTCCTTTTGTAACAAAATATTTTTAAATAATAAATGGGGTGTGAGCTGTTTTATGGATTCTGCATTGAATAGATTTGTTGAGGTGTCTGGGACGTGGGCTTGGGCTGATGGAGGCTGTGCGGACAGTAGTGCAGCCTGAGTTCTCAACAGGATCGCACGCTGGCCACGTGGGTGCCTGTGCTGCCTCTAGGAAACCACTGGTGCACCTTTGAAGGTGCCCCATGAAGTTTCACTTATTGCCTCCTCCACCTAAATGGCCTGGTTAAAGAATTCCAAGTCCAAGATATATTCTCAGAATAAATGTCCTACTTTGGGTACCACCTAGTTCCAATATCATCAATCTCAGGAAGAGACGTGACCCCTGGGTGGAGTTAGAAGATGACTGTTAGTGCCTCCTTGCACCAACCTGAACCATGGACAAGCAAGAGGTACACGTGAACAGGCTTCATAAACTGAACTGCTATGTAAACACGAGGAAGATCAGCAAGCCGAGCTAAAAGTGTGTTCTGGGTCGTGGAACTCCAGAAAGTTGGCTTTTCTCAAATATTGTTACATGATCAAAAAATCTGGAGAGTAGATAATGTATCTTGAGTTTTGTAAAGGCAAGATCAGTGTAGAAGCAAGTAAGCTGTAGTAAGAAGGACGTCTATGATGATGTGAAGCTTGAAGAAACTAGTTGGAGTACCTCTGACCTTGAATCAGGGTTTTCAAGTGGAGCTCCATGGTTACTTGAATCTTGTCTGCTTGCCAGTTGTGTGCTGTGCTGCATCCCTCCAGAGTGTCGCAATCTTTAGATCCCAATGGTTTTCTGTAACTAATGTATGAGGACTGCTGGTTCAGAGACGTGAATAGACTCTTCAGTGTGTATTCACGTCTCTGAACCAGCAGTCCTCATACACCTGCACTGGGCCACTGTCTGGCTCCTGTTGAATGGGTTCTTAAGCACAGCCCGGGGACAAGCCAGTGGGCTAATCTCTACCTTCTCTTGCCTTGGATGAAATTGTAGGCACAGGTGCCATAAGGAAAAGTCTACAACCCAAAAATAGAAAATAGTATTTATTATAAAATAATGTTCATTTCATGATGAAAGTAGAAAAATAACACTATGATCTACAAAAAAGTTCTGGAGCTCAGTCTCTGAGGAATGGATGAGCGGTTTTTGCATCATTCTGGGAACTCACTGTCCTGGGGCTGTGCTCATGAGACAGGTGTGGCGCAGCACGCACAGGGGCATGTGGCGCAGGTCCTGCTGGGAGCCCAAGGAGCCCGCGTGGTCCACACAAGATGCTCTGGCTATGATGATCAAAGAGGAGAACTGCAGGTCGGCAGGGAATTGGTTCTGAGAAGGCCAGGATGGCCGCTCCACCCCCCCATACTGGGACACAGAAGAGTCTCTTTGGGCGATGGTCCTGGTTTAGAAGATGATGCCCAGTGGCCTTAAGCTGATTTGTGGCCCAAATGTCTGTGCTGCGAAAAAGCAGCAACCTTCCCTGGGACAGCATGACCCACCATTTCTCACTGGTGTGGCAAAGTACCAGAAGTACATGTGGTCTCAGCCCAGGAGGGCTGTCGGCTCAAGTTGTTGTACTTCAGATCCTGTCCATGCTGATGGCAGAAAAAAAGAAACAAAATGTTAAAAGACCAGTGAACAGGAACAACTGGTCTGAACTGTTCCATATTCTAAGTCTCTTGGCCCCAAAGAACAAGGAAAGCATCTTCCCAAATTGGTGACTGTGTACCCTAAATGGGAAAGGCAGGCCCATATACACCCCTCCCCCCCGAAAGACCTCTAGACCCCTCAGGCTTCAAATGAATCCCTCCCCGGGATGGGATGGGACCCCAACCCTCAGGTGCTGGAAGATGGTTCCTCAGCAGTAGTACCTGGAGAAAGCAGTCAGGGTGAGCACCTCAAGCAGCAGCTCTGAGGCACAGAAGAAGAGCAAGATGCCATTCATGATGGCTTCCAGGCGGAGCACGTAGGTCTGCAGTAGCAGGTAATAGGAGGCCATCATGGCAGATGGGAAGGTCAAGGCCACGCTAATACCAAGTGGCATCTTTCGTTGGCAGAGGTTTCCTTTTGTACCTGTCAGACACAGCCCATGGAGTCACCTCCAAGTCACCTCCCTGGCCTCAGAGGAGGTGGGTGGGTGGGAAGTGATGGGACTAGCAAGGCAGAGATCTTCATTTAATCCAACACTGATAGATGTTTATGTTGTTATTAATGTTTAATGCTACAAAACATCTTTACCTATCTGTGGAAGGGCTTTTTTTTTCCCCAACAAAGTTTTAGAAGTGAAATTGTTCCCTAATAAAAATCTGATTAAGAATTTTTGGGGCCTCACTGGTGGCGCAAGGGTTGAAGTCTCAGCACTGTCAAGCTATTGCCATCCACTGTGGCCTGAATTTGACCCTAGGTCAGGGAATTGACCCACATGGCGCAGCAGACCTCTCCTGTCTCTCCCGCTGCTCCCCACTCTGTCACCCCCCCACCTCTGGCATACACCCCAGTTCTTGTCTGCATAAATAAAAATAAATCTTTTTAAAAATCACTTTAAAACTAAAAAAAAAAGAATAGGAATTTTACATAGTAAAACTATTACCAAAATTTTATATAGTAAAATACTACCAAAAAGGTTATCTAAATTTATGTTCCCAAAAAAGTGTGGGACTATAGAGAGGCCTTCCTCACACCCTCTGTAGTACTGGCCATTGGAAATCTTTTTAATCTAATTTTTTTATTTTCTTTTTATTAGTGAGTTGAGGCATTTTGACATATTTGTTGGTTTTCTGTGTTTACTCCTATGTAAACTACTAGTGTCCCTTACCAATTTTTAAATGAGGTTGTCTTTTCCTTAGTAATTTATGTGAGCCTTTACTCTTTGTTCCATGTGTGTTCCAAGTATTTCTCAGTTTGTGTTCTCAGTTTTCAGAGATGAGATATTCTAATTAATAAGGAATTTGTTTTATGTATCTGGGAATAAAAAAAATTTATCCTTTTGCAGAGAAGTGGAAGTGACCTTAATGCTGACCTATACAGGCATCTGCTGCATGAAGCTACAACTGATCAATTTTCCTAAGTGAACCAGAAAGGAACTAGCCATCATAGCAGTTAGGCAACTGGGAAGGCATTACCCATTATCTCGTGCTACGGCCCATCTCTAAGCCCTTCAGAGCAGCAGACAGGTAAATTGGCCCAAAATTTGAACCAGCTTGAACCTTCACAGAGGAAGCAATGGGATATACCAGAAACCTCACAGAGGGAGCAACAGGGTATACCACAGATCCTATCTCTTACTGTGAGCCTGGGTTATGAACTTGCTTTTGTTAATCTAGTTACGGATACCAGATAGCCTTGTAAGGAATGGAAATAGTCTCTGAACACTCACCAAAAAACAGTCGAATTACTTCAATTCCAAGATAAAGGAGAAGCATCACCACATCCAATACTAGATTTGCCGTTGGATATGGGAGCAGCAGACCTGCCGAAGCAAAAGCCAGAGTTTGCGACAATATATAACAGCACCCACAAGAACTCCCACACGTTTGGGAATAAAGAGGACACAAGTCTTCTCAGCTTTCCCTGAGCTCATCGATCAATGTGCACAGGACCTGTTAACCCCTGCGGGGTGTGTCAACTCAGGGTGACCATCTGCCAGAGGCGGCCCATTATTAGGCAGTTTACTCCTAATTCCAAGAGTGGGGGGGATGTTGCTCTCCCAAATGATCAGCTGTACTTGGGTACACAGGCTGCTTGTTGATCTCTCACTCTCAAGAAAGCCACCTTTCTTGAGAGGGCCTCCCCGGTGGCGCAGCGGGTTGAGCACAGCGCTGTGAAGCTGTCCACAGCCTCTGCAGTGCAGGTTCGATTCCTGGCCGGCCAGGGAGAAACCCGCATGGTGGAGCAGACCTCTCCTGTCTCGCAGGCTGCTCCCCTCAGCAGTGTATTTCGTCAGTCTGCCTGTTCTGTTCCCCACTCTGTCTCTGGTGAATCCTCTCACCCTCCCACGCCTTTGGGCTGTACCCCAGCTATTGCATAAATAAAAAATAAATCTTTAAAAGAAAAAAAAAAGCCACTAGAGAAGAGACTTCCACCTTACAGTGAAGTGGAGCTGGGGGGAGGGGAGGGGAGTCAGAAAACAGTGAAAAATGAGGCGGCTCTCGGAAGGTGCTGGCTCTTCTAGAAGTGGGGAAGGGATGTCGGGCAAGGGCGGTCAATCCAGGCCTTACCTTTATACAGAAAGATGAAGAGTTCCAGCAGGAAGTAGGTGGCATAATACCACCCGTTCAGAAAGAACAGGATTTCCAGCGGCGTGGAGGACAACCGCTCACCTGCAAGGATGAGCAGAGAAGAGGGATGGGCGGGAGGGCGGCTCGTCTGTTCTGAGTGGGTCTGTGTCCAACTTGGGGAAAACAAGAGGTCGCCGCCAGTGGGATGGACCACTTGGGGCACTTCCGATTCCTGATAACGAGGGGTGTGCGCGTGCCATCTGGGTGTGGAGGGGCTTCTTTCGGTCCCCTCTTTCCGCGGAATCACCGTCAAATTCGACGCTTGGCTTCGGGGTGAAAGGCCCCTCTGAGAGCCCGTCACTATTTGGGAAGGGAAACTGGGGTGCAGGAACCATGTTCGAGTTTATACAGCAAATTCCTATCTCAGCCGGCCTAGAATTTGGGGGTGTTTGAGACCCGCAACTTAAGACCTTCCGGCACTCGGGGTGGGTGGGGCTGAGAAGTCCCCCTTGGACAAGAAAGGAGCGATGCCCCCCAACATCCGAGAGTGGAGGGTTTAGGGCAGACTCGGAAGAGAAGTGGGGGGGTCGACGGGGTGGGCGACTGAAGGGATCGGGGCCAGGGACTCACACACCTCGGAAATCTCACCTCGCGACGCCATCTTCAGTCCCCATGGAAACTGCGTACGCGGCTACAGCCGCTCCCGGAGCAGCGAGGCGCTGCCGGAAGCGGGGGACAGAGCGGCCCCGGCCGCTGGCCCCTCTGCTCCCTCGCGGACTCTGTGGTTCCTCGGAGGCCGCGCGGGCGCCGGCTGCGTGCGGTGTGCGCATGCGCGCGGAGGAGCGCGGGCCCCCAAAGGGCTGTAGAGCCGGGGTTGAGCGCGCAGAGCCTTGGGGTGAAAAGCCCACGGAGCCGAGGGCCTCAGGCTTCGGGGACAGAGACAGCTCTCGGGCTTCCCTCCCCCAGATTACAGCGTGTTGGCAGAGTTGCCAGCTGTGGCCGGGTGACCCTGGCCTAGTCGCCTGATTCTCTACCCCGCAGCCGCCCGAGGGGGAGGACGTGCGCGGGGGGCGCTGCACGCGCGGGGCGCGGGGGGCCGGCGGGCTGCCCTCGGGCGGCCTCCGCACGGGGGGTGGGTTGCCAGGCTGGGCCTGGGCCGGAGGCCCCTGTCGAGCAGCACGAGCAGAGGAAGCGTGATCGCCGCTGCCCCATAACGTGCGGCGGGATTGGGGAGGCCGAGTGTAGGGTCAGGAGCGGACACAGGGCAGGTTTTCTAGGATCCAGCAGACTGGGTAAAGGAGGATCAGAGTCCTTAGTAGCTTTTTGCAGGTCTTTTTATTGGGATTTACCCGGTACACAGCAGGTAAGGGTGCTGGGGGGCCGGGAGGCTGGCAGTCCGCCCAGCCCCCAGCCAGTCTTCACTTTATCTGGGCTCTCCGGCCTTCTCTCGGCTTCTGCTTCTCTCTCGGCTTGGCTGCTGCTGCTGCTGGCGTCCCCGTGAGGCCGCCCTTAAAAGCACAGTCTTAGCCCAGGTGAATCCCATCTACCTATGCCCACACTCTACTCCAGGTGCCCGCCATCAGGCATGCATTTGCAACCCAACACATTCAGGACCGCAGGGTTCCGTCATCTATCCTGATGGTGGGAGGGCAGAAAAGCCTGACATTTTCTTTACCCTACACCAGAGTCCGGTGGGAATTGAGAGAAGTCGGGCGGACTGGGGTTGAAAGCCTCATTGCTATTTGGAGCAATTGTTGTTGCCTGCAGGAGTGGAAAGAAAAAGGGTCCTGGGTGGATTCGGGCCAGGAAACAGGCACACCCAAGCCAGGTAATTTGAGTTGAGACTATCCTTTAAGGACAGTGCTGTACTCCTAACCCGTGGGGTGGAGGTGGGGCGGTGAGTGTACTTCTAGACGCAAAGGGGAGGGACAGAAGCAGTTTCCTGAAATTAGAGAAGGCGATGTGTATGGAGAAATCTTTCTACAGGGAGCTGTGACTCTGAGAAGCCGCGGTTAAATATCCGACCTCATTTCCTCTTCTCCACTCTCTGGATCTCTGTTTGTGCCTCCCACTGGCAGATGCAATGGGAGGGCTCCCTGAGCATCAAGGTCAGACAAACATGGCAGAGAGCAAGGCGGGAGGGGTGCAACGGGATCTGGATCCAGCACACCCACCTCCGCAGCCTGCTGGATAAGAGGAATTAGGCAAGTTCCTGCCCCAGGCCTCAGATGTCCTTCTCCAAAAGCAAAGGGGACCAGCTATTTGCTTTGGTAAATAAATTATGCGGAGAACAAGGCCATACGCACTAATTTATATATTTTATACAGCTACTTCCATGTCATAATGGCTAAATTGAGACCCATAGAGACCCTGTAACCCTCAGACTCCGTGGTTTGTGCTGCATACCAGCTTTCCTTCTGGGAGTCTGGAACTTTGGTCATGCTAATCTATGTGCATAGGTTGCCTGTGTGGCCAGCCCCCACTAAAAACCTTGACCTCTGAATCTCTAAGAAGCTTCCCTCGTAGACAACATCTCACACATTCTAGTTTAAAGTGAAAACTTAGACCATTGGTCTAAGAAAACTTCAACCACTCCTAATATAAGCTATAGGCATTTTAGTATGTTGTATTTTCATTGTAATTCAGTTCTAAGTAATTTCTAATTTCCTTGTGATTTCCTTTTTTATCCAGGGATTATTTACAAGTATCTTATTTAATTTCTAAGTATTGAGTGCTTTTCTGATGTGACAGTGATTGTACAGTACCCTCGGCTTCAGTATCTGATTCCCCATAATGGGCGATTTCTCCAGCGCCATTTTAAGCGTTGTCAGTAGAGGGCGCTGGAGGAACATCGTAGGGGGAACCGGGCTTCATGTTCCATTGTGCTGTTGTGGTTTTTCATACCTTTGTTGCAAAGTGTTCCTACTTCAAAATTTTAGGCCCTCTGTGTTCTCTTTACTCCAGCAGTTCTCTAGGGCTTTTTAAAAAAGGCGATTTTTTTTTTTTAAGATTTACTTATTTATATAAGAACTGGGGTACCGGCCAGATGCGCGGGAGGGTGAGAGGATTCACCAGAGACAGAGTGGGGAACAGAACAGGCAGACTGACAAAATACACTGCTGAAGGGAGCAGCGGGAGAGACAGGAGAGGTCTGCTGTGCCATGTGGGTTTCTCCCTAGCCAGGGATCAAACTCATGCTGCAGTGGCTGTGGATTGCTTTATAGTGCAGTGCTTAAACCCTTGCGTCACCAGGGAGGCCCTCTTTTCCCAGAACTTTATTGTAAAACAGGGATCAGCATGCTATGACCTGGTGGCAAATGTACCCTCTTTTTGTATAGTCCCCAAGCTAAGAATGGAGGGTCTGGTGGCCTAAGAGTAAGTCTCAGCACTATCACCTCTACAGCTTGAGTTCCATCCCTGGCCAGGGAGCTGACCCACATGGCGCAGCAGACCTCTCCTGCCTCGCCTGCGACTCCCCTCAGCAGTGTTTTTCAGTACATCAGCCTGTTCTGCTCCCCACTCTGTCTCTGGTGAATCCTCTCACCCCCCGCACCTCTGGTCTACACCCCAGTTCTTTTATGCAAAATAAATACATGTTAGTGGTTTAAAAAAAAAGAAAGCTAAGAATAGATTTATATTTTTAGGTGATTAGAAAAAACAGTGTGACATGAAAATTATGACATTCAAATTGCAGTGTCTTTAAATAGTTTTATAGAACACAATTGTGTTCATCCTTTTAGGTGTCTCTGTGGCTGTTTTCATGCTACAATGTCCTGTCAGAATGAGTAGTTGCAAAAGGCAAGTTGGCTCTCAAAATCTGTAATATTTAGTTTGGACTTTCACAGAAGAGCTTGCCAACCCTTGTTTCTTAGCGCTACGGTGGTGTGGTCAACGGACTGGACTGCATAACTGCCCTCCTGGCTATGCCTCCTGCGAGGACACTAGTGCTTTCCCGGGCTCAGTCCTATGACTGGTTTTGACCAATGGGAATCAGAAGGACACAGGCCGAGGCTGGTGCAGGACTTCACAGTGGGGTTTCTTCTCCTGCTCCTTTATCTTCAGCGGACCCAGGCTAGTCGGCTGGAAGGTGTGTCACAGAACCAGAGCTGAGCAGCCTACTCCTTCCAGCTGAAGCCATCTAAGTTAGCCAAGAGCCAAGGAGCCCACGATCATCTCAGCTGCCTGGCCAGCCCAGAGCTGACCACGACACACAGGCAAGTCCAGCTGAAATCATCAGAACCCAATTCTTATTAGCTGAACCCCAAGACTCAAGAGCCATGTAACTGTTAATTGCTGCATGCCACTGACCTTTGTGGCTTGGCATATAACATTATGCCCATAGAAAACCGGTACTATGGGCACGTGAGTTAAAAAGTTTTTGACAGGGCCTCCCCTGGTGGCACAGCGGTTGAGCGCTGGGCTGCGAAGCTGCCCGCAGCCTCTGCAGCGCCGGTTCGATCCCCAGCCACCAGAGAGGGTCCCACATGGCGCGACAGACTAAAGAAATCTTAAAAAAAAAAAAAGTTTTTGACAGAAAAGGCTAAGAAACACTTTTACTCCTCAGGGGGGGATTTAGGCCTCTGGAGCCTCCCCTGGTGGCGCAACGCTTGAGCGCTGGGCTGCAAGGCTGCCTGCAGCCTCTGCAGCACTGGTTCATTCCCCGGCCGGCGAGGGTCCCACCAAAAAAAAAAAAAAAAAAAATTTAGGCCTCTGATAGGGAGAAGTCTGAATGAGTAGGCACAGAAGTCTGGAATTTCAGGGGTGGGGTTAGGGCGTTAGATTGCACCTTAAATTTCTACAAAAATATCTTGTGCTCATAATAGGGTTTGGTAAATATCTGTATCTGCTCTGTGGCTCAGTCTGCCCGCCAGGGTCACGTGGACGCTAGGACTTCTAGTGCCTCTTAACTATGAAGAGATTTAAAGAGAGACTCCACCATTCATGGGGAAAAAGTTCAATTTATTTCCTATTTATAAAATGTAAAAACAGGGCCTTGGGTATAAAATATAAAGGTCTAAGGGATGGACAGTCAGGGGCGCAGAACTACCCCTCCGCAGAATTACCCCTCAGGTAATCCACCTGGATTACCCCTTTAGTCATGAGGGTGTGGTGCAAGGAAAGCGGGTGCTGGGAGCTGCTCCAGTGCCAGGTTAAGCAAAAGCTTCCCAACGACGCAGCCACAAACCTGAGGCAGAGGGGTGGAGCGCAGGGGAGGACAGGAGACACCTGAGATAGGTGGCCGGAGGAATGACATACTGGAGGCTTGATCAGGGAACACTTAAATTTGCAAGAGGGAGGATCTTCCTTCTTGACATTTGAACACAACTGGCCGGAGCCTGTCCTAGGAAGTCCAGCTGCTTCTTGGTGCACAGACCCAAACACGCCTCTGCAGAGCGGCAAACGTGGCTCCTGTCAGGAAGGCAGGCGTCCATCAGGGCGACAAGGTCATCTTCGGACTTGCATGAACTCCTTGCGCAGCCATAGAGAGTCCTGGTAGAAGCGAGGATCGCCCAGCCGCACAGCTGTCCGCTTGTAGAAGTAGCAGTACAGCACTGCCGCTGAGGGCAAGAAGCAGGAAGAACCTCAGCAGTGCACCCATGTGTTCCTTCCAGAGTAAGAACAGAGCCTAAGGAGGCTGGGGGACCCCGTCTCACAATTTCCCAGTGACTCCCAGTAAACCAGAGGGCAGTAATGGCTCCTGTGCTTGGTGATGGGCTGGGAGGCCAGGGTCAAGGCCATCACTGCCATAGCCAGAGGAGGGGCCCAGGTGAGGCCTGAGGTTGCGCGGGCTCTTACCTAGTCTCTGGAATACAAACAGTGTTTGAAGTCCATCTGTCCAGACAAAGCGGTTGGAGTTTTTCCAGCGCAAGTTCTGAAGAGACATGAACAGACAGGGACAAATCAACGGCCAGATGAGACCACACCATCTCCACCTGCCTAACGGCAGAGATGCCACCTGGATTAAAATCATGCTAATCTCACCCTCCTTTCTCCAAGGAGTGTTTCTCCAAGGAGCCTCACGCTCCCCTCCCCCTCCTACTTGTTTTTTGGTAGCAAAAGGAATCATCTTAAAACCCCGAGGGAGGTAATGAGAATAAAGCTATTTATTCCCTTTCATTCCAGAGCCTTTGCCAAAGAGACATGATACATGTTATCTCAGGAGTTCAGTGTGGTCACTGCCTGGCTCAGCTGTCAGAAGAAGGCCTGGTGGACGCAGGGCTTTGTCAGATCAGTGGCTTTACAGCACACAGCTTGGACCTACTTCAGCTGCAGGAAGCAAGGCAGAGACAGCCCTCTTCTAGAAGCACCTAGAGCTTTTGGCACTGCCCTGGCTCCTTTCCTGTGAGCCCCATGCCTCCCCATGGGCTCACAAGGGCAACCTGGGGTAAGAGTCAGTCTGAGGAGGTGGCTTTAGGAAAGAAGTGGCTAGGGAACCTGGGGTTTTACTGTGTGCCATCAAAATGGGTACGTGAGAAACACAGGAGATACCCAGAAATGGGAGAATTTGTGAAGCAGAAGAAATTTGAAACCAGGTCCCTGGATCGGCTCCAAGAGCTTCATAAGAACCAGACAGAGGCACCATGGAGCTTGGTTCTTGAGTGTGGGCGGTGGGGACGCACAGGAGGGACGAGGCACTGAAGGGCCAGCAGCACTCTCGCGTGGCTATGTCCCCCGGGATAGTAACGCCTAAGAATAGCCGTGTCCACACCCATCTGCCCAAACAGCTAGTGATGAAATGGGTTCACCTTCCTGTTTTAGCCCTGCTAGGACTGGCAGGGGCAAAGGCAAACTGAATGTTTCAGACGTGTCCTTGAACTTCGACTCTCGGGGAGGCTGTTCTTCAGCACATAAGGCTGGGCAAGGTGTCTCATGCAACGCTCATGTGCTCGCCCCAGGCCGGGTCACAACCGTGTTATCCGCTTTCTAGCAAGGATTCTGGTTGATGTGAGAGAATGGCGCTGGGTGCAGAGAAAAGCTACTCCTAGCTCTTCAATGATTCTGGGATTCAGAGTTCCACACTTACCATGACCCAGACATGAAGGGAGATGCTGAGGGCGAAATACACAGCTGTCAGGATGATGGTCCCCTTGAATTTATGGAATAAGAGGTTGACCAAGCCAGCCTGGAAGACGAAGGTGTTGAAGAACATGAGGAAAATGATGATGATGTTGAAGAGGATTGCAATGTCCTGGATGCTGCAGACACACAAGACAAAACACCGCCACATGGAAGTCTGTGTGAGGACCCAAGATCTGGGCCTAGGTATTAGGGAACCATGAGGTGTTCTTGCCTGCAACATAGTCCCCTAAGCCCCCTACAGTGTAGCAAGCATAGGCTTTGCCCCCAAATGACATGAAACTAAAACTACCCACTGGTCCCACCAGTTAAATTGCAGCCCACAGACAAGGCTTCCTGTTGTGACACTCGAAGCTCAACAAACCTACCAGGCACTTGACGGGAAGCTAGTTTCCTCCCTATGTCACATAACCTGGTCCTACCAGACATTCCCTCAGGCAGGACGTTCACCCAGCAGTGCGCCCTTCTGACCTATGTATGGCAGAACCCTCGGTACATTCAATTCTCCAATGACCCCTCTCCAGAAAGACCTTCTGTGAACAGCATAACCTAAGGTAGTCAGCCCCTTCCCCCAGCTACTTTGTATCCATGATGTTTATTACTATTTTACATTGTTTTCTTTCTCTCCACTAGAATGGAAATCCCATGAGAGCAGATCTTGTCAGGTTGACCACCGAGGCTAGACCAGCGGGCAGGTCAGTGAATGAAGCGTGAGGGTGTCCAAGAGCGTGCTTTTCCGTTTAGAACTTGCTTCATAGAGTCTATAAACCCCTGCGGAGAATAAATGCCAACAGCTTCCATCCTATGGGAGTCACACATATTATTAACATGACTATTCTTTAAAGCTGCTGTTTTAGAATTCTCTTTTATGGCCACCTTAAGACAGTATTTCTATGTGAACTGCTCCCCGTATCCCAAACCATTATTAGAAGTACGTAAAAACAGGACTTGTCGGGCCTCCCTAGTGGCCTAGGGATTAAGTCTCAGCGCTATCACCTCCTTGGCCTGACTCTGATCCCTGGCCAGGGAGCTACCACATGGTGCAGCAGACCGCTCCTCTCTCACCCACCACTCCCCTCAGCAATGTATTTCAGTACATCCACCAGTTTTGCTCCCCACGCTGTCTCTAGTGCATCTTCTCACTCCCGGCACCTCTGATCTACACCCCAGTTCTTCTACGCAAAATAAATAAATAAAGCAGGACCCGCAACACATCAGTGTACCATAGATTATTCAATGTGGATCTTTATGCTCCCTGATATTTCTCCATTAGTAACTTTAAAGTTGCTTAATCACAAACGTCAGGGCCTTCAAGTTGCTTGGGCTCAGCTACACAGCTCCCCCCTCGCCCCCCATCCCGGACTCACATGAAGAGCACCAGCTGGATGACAGGGGCCATGCGGAGTAGCTCTGAGAAGGAATTGACAAAGAGGTCGTAGGACAGCAGCAGGAACTGCAGGGAGAGCACCAGGCTGTAGTTACTGGTCTGGAGCATCTTCCTTCTGTCCTCCTGGGCCTCCAGGGGCACATTCCACAGTTTCCCAGAAAACAGCTCCCAGCTCTCTCCCTAGCACCGAGAGAGAAGCATCGGGTTCCTCAGAATCAGAGTTTTTTCGTTTAATTGCTCTAAGACAAGGGCCTGTTGAGGCAAAAAAAAAAAAAAGAGTGGGGTTAGATATTCATTAATACAATAAATATTAACCAAAGACCTACGTAGTCAGCACCATTCAAGAACCAGCATTTAAAACCGGTTTCTGGAAGCCAAGAAGGTGACGCCAGGACAGCCAACACTGGGTCTTGGCATACATTTGTCAACAAAATCAACAGAGAAAGTCAATCAGCCACTCCTAGAGACAGTCAACCAACAACCTTTCTCCATGCCTGGGACCTTCTAAACACAGCTCTTTCTAATCACTGGAACCCACAGGAATCGAGGGGTACTACACAGAGTGACTGTCTAATCACTCACTACTATAATAACTGCTGCAGCAAATCTTTATATACTACAACATGCCAGGAACTGTTAAAAGCATTAACTCTTTAAATCTCACAATAACCCCTTGAGATAGAAAATACACTATTACTCGCCCCACTTTAGCGATGGGGCAGTTGAGGTCCAGGGAGGTCAAATAATTTGTCCAAGGTAACACAGCTCATATGTGGCAGAGCTGGGATTCAGATCCAGGGTGTCTGTGATCTTAACTCCTGCTCGAAATTGCTTCTTACACAACTGACAGGCTGATGTGTAAGGAGGTGGGGGAATGTTGACACAGGAGTGGGAAGTGCTATAGGCATAAAAAGCTGAGAGGCACAGGCTGTCCTGCAAAACCGCAAGCTTGTAGTAGTGACATAATCACACCAGGTAAAGGCAGCTGGGCCTTTATTTTCTTGTATTCCAAGATCCAGAGGTTGCTTTGGGGGTGTCTTGCGGCCCTACAGCGGGATGGAATCTATACACAAATTTCAAAATATTTTGAAATTTAAAGTGAGATTAAATGAACATCTGGGAGATGATTTGCACTTTTCAGTCTCTTTTCATGTGATCTCACTTAATCCTGCAGCCAGATGAGAAGCAGCTGTTACTACGCGTCCACTCCCCGTTGCACACAGAGGCCCAGCGAGGCGAACGAGGACCCTCGTCGGGCTCCCCGGGACGCGTGCACGCGCGGACCCTGAGCCCCGTCTCCCCACCCATCAAGCGACATGACAGTCACCCCTGCGGCGCCAGCACGTGAACGCGGCAACCTTTAATCCCCGCAACTGCAGTGCAGGGGTGCAGGGGGCAACGACTTAGGCCCGTCTGAGTTCGAGCCCTTCCTGCGGGGTGCAGCGGCGCAGAGCGGGGATACGCGTCGGGGTGGGACCCCAAAGCCCTGCTCCCCCCCCGCCCTCCGCTCGGGTCCCGGCCGCGGGCGTCCGCCAGGGGAGGGAACGGCCCCCGCTCGGCGCCCGCGCCCCGCGCTCCCTCTGTCCCCGGCGCGCGGGCCCTCAGCCGCCCAGGCCGCTGGAAAACGGCGCCGCCTCGGCAAACAGCCCAAACCAAACACAGTCCCAGCAAGAACCGCGCCCGCAGGCCACTCCGCCCGCGCCTCCCGCTCTCACCTCAGGCCCCGACGGCGGTTGTCATGGGGACGCCGGCCCGGTTTCCGGAAGTCGGCGTGAAGCTCCGGAAGCAGATGGCGGCGCGCGCCCCCCGCTGGCCGCGGCCCCGTCCCCGCTCCCGGCCGGCCCGGGCGCCATTTTGGGCACCCGTTCCCGGGGCCTGCCCCTCGGCTGGCTCCCCCGGCGTGGTGCGCACGGTGCGCCCCGTCGCGCCGGCCTAATTATTCCCGTTCTCACGGGACAGCGGGTGAGGGGCAGGGCCGACCCGTGAGGGCGCGCCAGGCCCCTGCGCTCCCCGCCTTGGGCCCGGAACGCCCGCGGAGCAACGGGGCCGGGGGCCTCGGCGCGGGCGGCGCGGGCCTCCATTTCCCAGAGGGCCGAGCGCGCGGCCGGGGGGGCGGCGGCCTGCAGGAGGCGAGGCGGCCCCGCCCCGCCCAGGCGCCGCGGACTCCACCTCCCGGGAGCTCCGGAGCGGCGGCGCGGGCGCCGGGTGGCCAGGAGTCGCGGGGACCCCGGCCCCGCTGCGTCCCACTGCGGCTCGGGGGGTGAGAAAGAGCCCGCGCTGGGCGGACAGGGCCCGGGTCCGAGTGCTGGCTCCGCTCTACCTCGCTTCGCCCTGTCGCGACCCCTCGCTCGGCCTCAGTTTACTCTCTCGGGACCCAGCGCCGCCTCCAGGCCCGTCCTTCCGCGGGGCTGGGCGCGAGGCTCCGCGGCCGTGCGGTCCTCTCGCCGCCGCAGGCGCAGCTCCCCTCCCGCGCCCCAGGCTTTCCCCAGGGCCCGGTCCCCGGCTGCTGTAGTCGCTCTGGCGCGGGCCCTTGTGGCCCGCTCACCTCCTGGCTGCGATTTTGGGCCCCGTCCCGAGTTTTGGCTTAGCAGAAGCGACCCTGGGAAGCGCGAGGCCTTGAGCTGAGGGGGCATGAACCTGGGTTCCCCACCCGCGCTGTCATCTCGGCCAAGTCACTTTCCTTCTTTGAGCTTTTGGGGTTTGGGTCTGTAAGATAAGGGTTAGAACGTGAACCCTGAGGCTGGTTCTCAGGATTCCTAAAGCCCCCTCATTCATCGGGGAAGGGGGAGCAAATAGGTGTTCCTCCACCTGTTTGTCCTTTTCTACATGGTAAAAGTAACATTGTAAGATTTTGTAGTGGAGTTTTTTCTGAGACGACGGTGAATGGGAAATACCCACTTCCTACCCCACGGCCTGATCTGCCTAGGATGGAGGGGTGTATTAGACTCCTTCGATCAGCGCCCCCAACGGATGAGCCACAGGCCAAATCTGGCCTCCCTGAATGGTTTTGACAGCCTTAAATGATTCAAACAAACGAGAAGGATATTTTGTGACACGTGAAATGATGTGAAACTGAAATTTCAATGTCTATAAATAAAGTTTTTTAGGAACACAACCGTGCTCGCTTGTGAAGGTATTGTCTGTGACCGCACTGGTGCCACATCCGCAGACCTGACGACAGTGGTGACAGAGGCTGCAAAGCCTGAAGTATTCACTATTCTGACCCTTTACAGAAGGCTCTAATGACTTGACTTAGGAAAGGGCAGAATAGGAGACAAAGCTGGTGAGCGCACCTTGAGAGCATAGCAAAATCCACTCAGAATAAATGAGAGGCTCTTCGCATTTGGATTGCGAGTCACACTGCATTCTTCCCTGGGCTCTGCTTTCGCTCTATCCTGGGCAGAGGAGGGCTCATCTGGGTGCTGTGTGACATTCCAACCTGTCAGAAAACAAAAGTTCTGAAAGTAGATATCCAATGGCTGGAGCTGAGGCAACACTATGGGGTGGGGGGTGGTGACTGAACATCTGATGAACTGAAATTTCCCCTGCCCTTTCAGGAACCGAGGGGACAGCTCAGGCTCTGAGTTCCCTGATTCACACATGAAGCTTCTAGGAAGCTGGTGGCATGATTTCTCCGTCCAGCCTCATGGAATCTTGTTTTTTTCCCCAGTTTTCAGCACTTCCTTTCTCAGCGATCACTGCCAATTTGGATCCCCTTGTGGAGAGCTCAGCATCTGCTTCTGGTTAGGTGCCCACAGGGCATGGAATCAGGGCCACTGAGAGGCATGGGCTGGGGTGGAGGGAAGGCACTAGCTTTGTGTGTTTATTAGCAGTTAGGATGAAAGGCTACAAAAAGTCTAACACTTTACTCTCATGTCCTTCCATATACTTTCTCATTTGACCTTCTAATAACCTGTGGTCAGGGAGAAGTTGCCAAACAGACCAGGAAGCTCCCCCACTTCCCGGTCCTAAAGCTTAAGGGCTTATTCTTTCCTCTTCTGTAAATAGGGGATGATAACTTGATAACGTCTCCCAGGCTGGTGGTTTTTTTCCTCCCAGGATTGTTGAGAGGAGTACACAGGATCAGGTGTGTAAGGTTCTAGAGTGGTGAGTGCTCCTGGCTGCCTTGCAGTAAATTGTATTCTAATTGCCAGGCTTTTCTTTCAGAGCAGAAGACTTGAGACCCCCACATGTTAAGTGATTGCTCCAGGTACCTTAGTTTGTGGGAATCGGAGCCCAGCCCAGCCTTCTAGCAGCCTGCCACGAGATCTAAAGGTGAGGACTCAAATGTTTTATCTTCTTGGGAGTTGTTGGCTCTTTTAGAGGCCTCCGCTCCTGTTAGCTGCTTCACATTGAGGGATCCTGACAGCAGGAAGACACAGGGGCACCTTCTTGCTGTGAGCCCATGGAACAGGGCACTGATTGCCTTTTCATCTGGGCACACGCTGCCTACCCATTAGCTGAAAACCGGGGCAGTCCTGTGGCTTTATGCACTTGCTTGCCACCCCTCTCACCCATTTGCCCTGCCTGAAACCAGAGTTGGTTTCTGCGTTGATCAGGTGCATTTTGGCAGTCTCAAAACAAACTCTTGCTTTCTAGACCATGAGTTCTTGCTTCCTCTTTTCTCCACTGGACTTTCCCCAGAGGAAGAGAAAGCAGAAGTCTCAGATCTGGGGACAACTGGCAGCGCTTGCATAATGCAAGGTGTGGGGTGGCAGCCTGGTCTTAGTTCCCAGCGGGACGATCAGCCCCACAAAATTCCCCATCTCTCTAGAAGCAGGAGCCCAGAGATGCCCTCTTGGCTGCCCTTGGGCTTGTGATTGCCTCTTTTTGTTAGAACTGAACATCTGGGCCTAGATTTTGCTTCCGTCCCTTTTTGAGGGGGAAGAGGAAGATGGAGGTGATTTTTTTACCTTCTGGTCCTATGAAGGGAGACTAATCCCAGGGCCGTACTCCCTGGGTCTTGGCATCAGGTAGGGGAGGCTCCTCTCTGGCCCTCCCACAGCTTGAGCTGCCTGCAGTGTGAGCTCCAGGTGCTGGGCGGGGCCTCAGCCACAGCCCATAACCAGAGATCAGGATCCCCCAGCCCCTGGGGCCTCTTGGGGTGGTGGCCCAGGCTGTGGCAGGGGAACTGAAGCAAAAAGCATCGATTCCTCTCAGGGCCAAGAGCAAGGTCAGTACTACTTTCTTTAGCTGGTGTACAGGGTGTGCCACGCCAACAGGCACACGTGACTTTTTCTTCTAGGAGCGCTTGATCAGAATGGCAGCGGGATGGTTTTACCTGTGCTGCCTGGCACTGGGGTCTCTGGGCTCCCTGTGCATCCTCTTCACCGCCTATTGGATGCGATACTGGCGTGGTGGCTTTGCCTGGGATGGCACCGTGTTCATGTTCAACTGGCACCCGGTGCTCATGGTTGCTGGCATGGTGGTGCTGTATGGAGCTGGTGAGTACCGAGTCAGTGTGGCAGATGCCAGGCCTGCACGCAGCAGCGCTCTCCCTCTCCAGCACTGTCACTATTGGGTTTCAAGCCATGGGAGCTGGGGTGGGGGAGGGTCTGTCTCTGGGCCCAGGTAACATTTGGAGAAAGTAGTGAGTGTGGGGGCATTTGAGAAGGGCAGCTTCATGAATACTCTAGGGTTGGGGCCTGCAAAATTTTCTTGTCCATGTCCAGATAGTAGTAAGTATTTTAGGCCTCACCAACCCTGTGATCTGTATGTGCTGTTGTGTTGTGAGAGTGGCCGTAGGCTGCACATAAACACGTGTAGCTGTGCCAGTAAAACGAATGAGCGGGCTGGACTTGGCCCCTGACCCCAGGGGGCAGGAGATTCAAGCCTCCGGAGCATAGTCAGGCCCTCAAATGGGGGACCTGCTTACACTTCTCAGCCCCATTTCACCCCAGAGCTGGCCTCGGGCCCGGCCGGGCTTGGTCTTCCCCGGTTGTAAAATGGGAGGGGCAATGGCGTTGATAGTGCAGCTCGCCCTGTGTGTTTGGAGCCGTCAGTCATTCCTTTTCGTTCTTATGAGCAGCTTACGAGCAGCTGGTGCTGTGGGCTCTGTTGTTATCCTCGTTTTACTGATGAGGAAACAGGTTTAGAAGGAAGATGCCTGTAGCTAAGAGGCAGAGGTAGGATTTGGACCTAGATTGTCTAACCTCAAAGCCTGTGTTTTTAGCCACCTGAGTTGTGAGAATTCACTTAGTTAGAATAATGACCGTGACGTCACTCTTTAGTCTGCAAAGCTGCGCACCAGTCATCTCTCTTATTCCTTTATTACTGTACAGCTGCCCAAAAGCTGCCCCTCCCTTTTTATCACTAGCCCTCTCTCCCCACTCGGTGTGGCCAACTGATATCCTGGAAACTGTGGGGGATAGAAGATACTGAGGACTTGACGCCAGTGCCAGCTCGTCCTCCCCTCACCGGGCGGCTGTGGGGCGGTGCAGCAGGGTTCCCTGGGTGTGGGTGAGCGTGAGGGGAGGAGACCAAGCCGGGCTGCTGTCTCCCTGCAGCCTCACTGGTGTATCGCCTGCCACAGTCGTGGCTGGGGCCCAAGCTGCCCTGGAAACTCCTCCACGCGGCCCTGCACCTGGCGGCCTTCACCCTGACTGTGCTAGGGCTGTTCGCCGTCTTTCAGTTTCACCAGCATGGAAACATCGCCAACCTCTACTCTCTGCACAGCTGGCTGGGCATCACCACTGTCTTCCTCTTTGCCTGCCAGGTGGGTCTCTGTCCTCCTGCGGGTCCCCTGCTGGGAGGCTTACTCAGGCTCTGGGCTTCACTCGCATCAGCGCCAAACCTTCCCTCAGCTCAGCTCCTAAGACCAGCCTGGCAGGGCATGTCCCCTCACACCTGCTGCTTTTAGGGCTGAGGAGGCCAGTGTTCCCACGCACCCCATCACACAAACTATTCCCACCTCTCCGTGAGCCAGATGCCACTTGAGCTTGGTGTCCCTAGTCTGACGTCACCTCTGTACCAGTGGCATGCGGGTGAGGCTGGCTGGAAGGAAGCAGAGGCATCCAGGGGGCTGGGTGTGCGGGAGAGAAGGCTTGCACCTCAGCCCTTTAAGAGATGGGCCTGTTGGTGAGAGGCACAGGGAGAGCACGGGGGTGTGGGCATGGTGGGGGCAGTGCCTGGGGGCAGCTTCACCGGCAGGGTGAGCTGAGTCACCACACACAGCACCCAGACTCTCCTTCTGTGTCCACAGTGGCTCCTTGGCTTTGCCATCTTCCTGCTGCCCTGGGCGTCCACATGGCTGCGCAGCATCCTGAAACCCATCCACGTATTCTTTGGAGTGTCTATCCTCTCCCTGGCCGTTGCTTCCGTCATTTCCGGCATTAATGAGAAGCTTTTCTTCAGCTTGTGAGTGGGACAGAGCCGGGAGGCGGGCTCGTTTCTGCTGCGGGAGGTGGTGGCATTGGTCTGTCTGTAGGTCGAGGTTGGGAAACTGCTCAGCAGATAGTCACCCGGCAGCAGTTGATTTAGCACTCGGGAGTGGGGAAGCCGCCCCAGCGCCTTAGGTGCAGCCCCTGACGGCCCTACCGCCCAGATGCTCGCCAGTCAGAGCCCCAGTCTCCTGCCCAGCCCTGCTGCCGGTGCTGTTCCCAGGCAGTGTGGGTGTCGTGATTCGACTGTGCCATTTCCTAATCCTGTAACCCCGGCCAAGTTCACTTCCCCTCTGAGTGCCACTGTCCGCCTAGGTAAAAAGCATCCTGCAGGTATTTGTGGCGGCAGGACTCAGGAGTACGTTAACTTCAGTCACAAGTGGTCCTGGGAAGGCTTTTCGCCCTGTCTGGGTGGCATCGTGTCTCCCTCTGGGCGAGAGCAGGTGGGAAAGTCTCTCAAGGGCCCATCTTGTTTTGTCACCTTCAGGAAAAATGCCACCCAGCCGTACTCCAGCCTGCCCAGCGAGGCTGTCTTCGCCAACAGCACCGGGATGCTGGTGGTGATCTTTGGGCTGCTGGTGCTTTATATCCTCCTGGCTTCGTCTTGGAAGCGCCCGGAGCCTGGGGTCCTGACTGACAGACAGGTAGGGCTCCTAGCTCCTGGGGGAGGGCAGGTGTAGAGAAGGATCTGGAGAAGGCCTGGCCTGGAAGACCAATCCAGAAGCTTGGTGGGAAGCCCGGCTGCTTGAGGTGGAGTGAGGTCGGCTGTGGCGCTGGGCTCACGCCAGCACAGCAGCCATCGAGGCCCATGCTGTGCTCGGGCTCAGCATTGAGCAAGTCTTGCCTGTTCTTGGCCACTCAGGCACCTGAGGCAGGTGGTGAGATGGTATATGTATCAGGCTGAGGGACCTTGGGGCTCCCTTAAACGATGTGGTGACTTCAGTGGGGACCACCCTGCAGGTTGGGGTCTGCCTAAACATTTCAGGCCCAGTGTGGCTTCTGTAGGTCTGGGAACATTAACCCCTGTGCTCCTACCTGTCTTTCCAGCCCCTGCTGCATGACGGAGAGTGAAGCAGGAAAGGACTCCAGGAGCAGCTGGACCCCCCTCAGAAGCTCCTCTCTACCTGGAGCTCCCATCAAGTTGTGGGTCTGGACCCAAACCTCTCCTTGCCTCCTCCTTGTTGGGCCCGCTCTTCCTCCCAGCTGGCTGCCCACCTGCCCTTCACTGTAGCTTTGGCTTCTGCACCCCTTCTTCCTGGCGTCAGCCTCTCCCATCCTCCATTTACACAAGGACCTCTTTGCCCTGGCTGCTCATGCCGTTCCTGTGTCTGTCTGAAGCAACCGAGCTGACTCCCCCTAAGACCACTGGGGATGTGGTTGAGAGTCCGATGAGCTGGGACGCAGTTGGAGTTGTGTGAGCAGCCAGGGAGTAGCGTGCAGGTATGGTCTCCTGCCCCATACCCCACAGGAGCGGCCTCATCTGTTAGCCCCCTGCAGCCTGGCCTGAGGCTGAGTGGGAGGGGCACAGCATGGAATGAGGCAGGTGGGGGCGGCAGAGCTGCCATGCTGGGGAGAGGCTGAGGAGCGGCTGTTCTGCTCACGTCACTGCATCCTGTTTGCGTGTGCTGTGACCATGTGGCTCTGCCTCTTTTAGCTGCTCCGACAGCTGGGGCCTGGATCCTGGCCTTTCCCAGTGATGTACATGCCTGTCCCCCTCAGGCAGCCCTGCGACCCTGGGAACCTGCTGTCCCAAGCTCTGGCTACCTGGCCTCAGCTGTCCCCATTGGCTGAACAGCAGGGCAGCCGTGCACTCCTTGACCTCTGAGGCAGATGCGGGCCTTCCTGCCTGCCCTGGGCAGTGTCCACCTTGCCATCCTGGCAGGGTCTCTCCAGCTCAGTTGGTGTGTTTTTCCCAGCAGAGCCCAAGGAGCCACCACCCTCCAGAGGCGTTCCCTGCTGGGTATCTCAGTGCCTCACCTGCCCACTCCCTGCCTGGCCCAACCCAGTCTACAGCGGCCCAGTGGCTCTTCTCCCACAGAGGGCAGGCAGGCGGGAGTCTTGCTTCCCTCCCAGGGGTGGGCGCTGGGCTTCCCCAACCTCTCCGCACGAGCCTGTAGGTCCAGGCCCCACACGGCTATGCTCACAAGAGCTGTGCCACCAGCCCGGGGTCTGGAGTCTGGGTCCCGACCCTGAGGTTGATGTCCAGCCCAAGCCCGCATGGCCAGCTGTTGGTAGGAGGACTCTGCTGGAAGCTTCAATTGGGTGAAGGGTGCTGAGCCATCGGGATGCCTGGCAGGCACCTTGGTCACATGACATGTGACCACCATGTGGACAGGCATTTCACTTGCTCACGAAGCTTGATTTTCATTAAACATGTTTTAAGAATCAAAGCCTTTTCTGCTAAACAACAGTGTGGCTCACTGAGTTTTGGGGCAATTTGTACAATCTTGGATGCTCTAACCCTGCCCCCCCAAACCACAGGCCCCACAGAGCCCCAATGACCTCATGGACTTGTGACTTGCGTGACCCGTGCTGAGTGCTGTCCTTGACAGGGATGGCTTTTGAGCATTGGGTTATCTTAGGAGGAAGGAAATGCTTCCCAGTTAGTAATTCAGAAAACAAGACACAAAAAGGGTGAGTGAGGTGCCTGTGGTCACCCAACCAGGAAATGGCCAAGTTGGCTCTACAGGGCGGTGTCTGGCGCTAGCTCCCTTCCCTGCTGGCACCTGTGCCTGCGGCTAGAGACCAAGGTGTGGCTGGTGGGCAGGGAGAGATGCCCAGGGCTTGAAGGGAGGCTGTAGGAGTCTGGGCAGTGAGGTGGGGCCCCCTTCCTGGGATGACCAGCTGTAGCTGCCCCCTGGTGGAGGTGACTGTGGGGCGCTGCAGACGCTAGTGATGACAGCACTCCCCATGAGCACGCTGGCTATACCTTTGATTCACTGGGATCCTCTCCCACATCCCCACAAGATGGTGCCACTCTGAGTTTATAGATTCCAAGAGGCTAAACCATAGGCCTGAGTCTCTGTAGCTGGATCTGAGGCAGAACCAGGTGAAAGTTGTGTCTGTGTGAGTCCCCATCAGGGCCTTGAGTCACGGCCCTAAGCTGATGAGTCACTGCCCTAAGCTGACTAGCACCAGCCCCTCGCTGCCTCGTCTCTGCACGCACCAGACTTGCAGATAGACAGTGCCATGGGTAAGGATACGAAAAGACCTGGGGGCTGGCTGGGGTACAGTTTCTGGCCTATCACTGAGCCTGAGAACATAGCTGTTTCTTTCCGGCATCTTGTCTGTTTCTGCTGAGAGGAGCGCACCTATCAGTGTGTACTGGAAGGAGGCTGGGAGTAGGTGGGTGCGGGGTCCCTGTGGAGCCAGCCCAGCTGCACGGACCCTGCCTTTGGGTCTCTGGTGGTAGGAGATGGGTAGGACCATTGCAGCTGGGAGCTGAGGTCTCTGTCCCCAGGTGGCAGTGGGTCCACTGTTCATGCTTAGAAAAGGTTTCAGAGGACACGCATCTCTGTTGCTTTGATTTATTAGCTTGCTTTTCCACACTGGCTCGGGTGCAGGTGCCGAAGGCCTTTCACAGAAAATCTTAAATCCAAACAAGCACTGCCAGTTAAAGGCTGTGCTGCCACCCAGGGAAAATGCCTAATCACTGAAGCCCAGAGCTAGTTAGGGACCGAGCAGGGTGACCCTGGGACTCCACCCTCCGTGAAAAGGAACAGGGCCATGCTTAAGAGGCGCCTGGCCCTGTCAGGACCTGGGAGTAGCTCGGGAGATTTCCTGCTGAACTCAGAGGACCAGCCCTGGGCACGAGCGCCAGGGAAGGGGACAGCGGGGAGGCAGGAGGTGACAATGGCTGCCTCTGCACAGCAGCGAGAAAGGCACTGAGGCTGGAGGCGTTCACACACCCTGGCTCTGCAGGGCCTCCAGGATGGCGCGGAGAATGGCTGCGGCTGCCACGGCCCCTGGGTCCGGTTGATCCAGCCTCGCGGAGCTGATGTAACTGGCTCTTCCGGCTCCAGCTTCCATGTTCTTGGTGGCCTCGGCAGCAGCTTCTGCACTCTGAGGAGGTAGGGGTGTGGGAGAAGGCTCTAGCACATGCCCCCACACATGCTCCCTGCCTTGGAGCCCCGAGCCTGGGGTCCCAGTTCTGCCAGCACCCTGTGTACCGCCGCCAGGGCAAGAGGCCACTGCTGTGTCCCGCACACGTGACACCTCTTTCAGCTCGCCACAGCCCTGAGACGGGTACTTGGCTCCATTTTCAGGGGAGGAAACAGGCACAGGAGGGAGGTTAACCTGCTCGGGGTACGGAGAGGGGAGTCCCCGGGCGGTGGGGGGCTGGGCTCACTTGCTCACCTTGACCGCTTTGGTCAGGGTGTGGAACACATCAGCTCCTGGACTCTTCCAGGCTTGGAGCTCCTGTCCTGCAGCCCACAGAGAATCCAGCTGGACAAGGGGAGGGGGGTACTGAGTACAGGCCTTGCCAGTAGGGCGTGGCCTACAGGCTTCTACACTCAGAGGGGGAAGGGTGGGCCCATACATACCATCGTCCTGTCCCCTGGGGCAGCCTTTCCATACCTGGCAGGGAAAGCAGAAATGAGGTTCACTAAAGGGGACCCCACCCACCCCTGGTCTAGGGCACGGGGCTCTGGCTCACTTCTGCAAGGCGACCAAGCCGGCATCCATGGCAGCAGACCAGGCTGAGAGATCAGTCTTGGCTTTGAGGGGCTGGGCTGCTGCTGTCAGGAACAGGCCATAGAGCTGGGGAGGACCAGAGTGCTGAGCATGCAGGCTGCCCCAGGCCTCAGCCCCGCGGGGATCCCGCCAGGTCAGCCCTCCACCTCCCTGGGGGCTGCCGGCACTCACTGCCCCAGATGAACCCCCCATCCTCTCCAGTAGCAGGACGGACAGCTTGGAGAGTAGCTGGGCAGGACTGGTAGGGAGTGGACCCGCCTTCAGCCACCCCTGGATTGCTGCGGGCAGAGAGAGACAGTGAGGGACTCAGAGACCCTCCCTCCCACCTGCTTGGACCCCAACCAAGTTCCCAGCCTCGCTGCCGGGAGCAGAACAGGTGCTGGAAGAGGCTGAGGGGTTCCCGAGGCACCCCCTTTCTCACCCAGCGTGCAGTCCGGAGCGACATGGCACCCCTGGCTGACAGGGACCTCAGAGGACAACGAGCAGGTGAGGTCGCCTGATACTCTGGTCACATTTTACTTTTCTTTTCCCTTTGTACTGCTGTCTTCTGTGTTTTACTGATTCTTCCTGTTTATTGTCTGTCTCCCCACCAGAACATAAGCCCTGAGGGCAGGGATATTTGCCAACTTTGCTCACTATTGTATCCACAGAGTTGAGAGCAGTGCCTGGCTCTGGGAGGCAGGAAATAAAATGTTTTTGACTGGACGGGGCTGGCCGGTTGAGAGCTTTCTGTTGCTCTAGGTCAGCTGAGAAAAATCAGGACCCTAAAATGAATTTCCCTGGAATCTACAGGCACTGATCACTGCAAAGCGTTGTGTCTATTCTGAAATGACAACCATCCTGTATTTGCAGAGTTAGAAGAGCCTTTTCCTTATGAAAACAGGCAGAAGGGGTGCCAGGCTTTGTGAAGGCCCTCGCTTGGCAGAATAAAAGCTGGCCACCCCGCGTCAGCACCCTGTATGGCCTGGAAATTGCTCTGCTTTGTGAATGCCCAAATTTCAGAACTGATGTGCTACACACACCCTCCCGGGAGCCCCAAAGGGCCCTCCACCAACCTCTGGCAGCACGGCTGTGGGTGGTGCCACAGTCCCCATCACCTGCAGCGCGGTCCAGGGCATTGAGCTGCTCCTCCAGGCCCAGGAGGGTGGTGCACACCCGCTCCAGCACGGGCACCACGCGCTCTGAGGCTGAGCCTGGGGGAGACAGTGGGGAAGAGGCCTCCCAGTCCCTTCTCATGACACTTGACCCGTATGGGAGGTGTAGGTGGCAGGGTCCCTGAAGACCCCACAACGCCCCCCACACCTTTCAGGGCTCAGGCCAAAGCCAGGGCCATCCTCCCCAGGAAATGGGCTAGTACCTCCTGTGGCGGTGGAGTCAGGGGCCTCCTGGGGCTCGGTTGGGGCTGGCCGGCTCCGCTGCCGCCTGGTCACAGAGACCTTGGCCACTTTAGGCCAGGCCACAGCATTGGTTTTAGCATCTGGACACACAGATGATCCTCTCAGACATGGGTGGACTGGCCAGGGATCAGCGGGGGCCAGACTCCCCCACCTGGTGGCCCAGCTATCTCCACCTCAACACGCGAGCGCCTACTATGGACAAGGCAAGCAGGGAGGGACCTACCATCCCCTCCTCCACAGCCTGTGAGAGCTGGAGAGGCTGGAGGATCCAGCGAGGGCCTGACTGTCATAGTCCACTCTTGGGGTCTCTCCCAGTCCCCAGCTCCTACCTGCCACAAGGAACCCCAGGTTGGCCGACTCCAGGCCTCACCTAACAGTTTCAGGAGGGGCTCATCCACCAGCAGAAGGGTGAGAGAAATGCCAGGCATCTCCAGGGCTGACATGAAGGTGCCCACCAGGGCACGGGCAATCTTCACCCTGCGGCCCTCTGCAATCCAGAGCATGGCTGCCATGAGCTAGGGCACTTTCCCCCAGAGAGCAAAAATCAGGGAAAAATGGGGATTGTGGAAGTTGGGGCCCTGAGATTGGTAAGGAGATGCCCGTTTCCTCTGGGCATCACTTTAAGATGCCACAAATGCCCATGTTCCCTTCTACAGGGTCAGAGGAGCAAGCCTGGGCCCCATTTATTGTATTCTTGCAGCCGCCAGGCACTGTGCTTGGCATCGGGCATGTGTTAACCTCGTGAATCCTCACAGTGCCCCTCCCAGGCAGGCACTGCTGTTTTTACCCACTCTTTACAGACAAGGAAAGGGAAGCTCAGGGCACGCAGCCGTCAGGTGGCAGTGACGGTGTAACCCAGTAGCCTGGACTCGGGCACGAGGCTTGTCCTCTGCTCCTGTTCTCATGTCTGGCCTCAAGGGATTGGGCAGAAGGTGCTCGGGAGCTGGGGCTCACCCAGGATGCGGATGGCAGCGTCGGCGATGATGCCCAGTTCCAGGTATGACAGGCCACCCAGGTTGTTGACTACCAGCACCACAGAGGATCCTGTGGGCAGACACGACACCCAGGTGAGGTGTCTGGGCTGGGGGCAGGCGGAGGGCAGGGGTGGCAGGGCGGGGAGACGGATGGGTGATAGCCCCTTACCGGACTGCACAGGCACCCGGGACACGTTGGAGGGGCTGGTCATGTGGTCCAGCATGAGCGTCACAATCTCGTCAGCTGTGGCCATCTGTTGGAGAAGGGCTGGGTCTCAGCTGCATCTGGGGCCACCGCCTCAGAGTGGCCTGGGCCCAGGAGTCCACCTACCTTAATCCGGCGCACACCAGCTTCCCCATGGATGCCTGTGGATAGAAGCAGTCCTGTTGACCGGCTCGGGACCCGGGGATCCGCTCATGGTGCTTTTACCAAGGATGTGCTGATGCCTGGGAGGAAGCTAGGTGGGGACTTGAGGCGTGGGGCAGGAAGGGGTGGAATGATGGAAAACGCAGTCTTTGCTCTCCGGAACCTTACAACTTGGAGGTGGAGAGGACCAGGGACCTTACTTCATTTTTAACTAGCTCCACAGCACTGACTGGCGGCAGTCACAGCAAGGCCTGCGGCTTGCGCCCGTCACTGTGGAAGCAGCGGGGAGGAAGAGGGAAAGCTTTGCGCTGGTGGCCTGCTGGCAGGACCCAGGAATGGTGTGAGCAAAGGCAAGGGGGTGCGCAGGGCACTCGCTGTGGATGTGGAGCAGGTCGAAATCAGGCAGGTTGGGCGAGACGGACCTTGGGACTTAAAAACACTAGGGCCGCTTAGCAACAGCTCCAGGTGAGCACAGGGCACCGGGAAGGGGCTCCCAGGGCAAAGAGGTGGGCCAAGCCCAGGCAGGAGATGTGACCGGCACAGCTTACCCAGGCCCAGCTCCACTTCATCGGCAGAGAGCTCGAAGGTGGGTTTGGAACCAGGGACACTGCAGGAGGACAAGCTCACTCCCAGGGTGCCTGTGAGAACAGGGTAGGAAGGGGTGACCCCTCTGCTCTTGCATCGGGCTGGGCAGCAGCAATGCCTCAGACGCCCCACCCATAGCTGCTGCTTCGAGAAAGGCTACCAGACCCTTCATCTCAGAATGAAAGGGAACCCAGCTCTGGGGACCCACAGCTACCAGTGCCCAGCCCAGGGAGATGGGGCCGCACTCACCCATGTTCTTGGCGACTGCGCTCACCCGCTCCGTGATCTCCTGCAGCCCCACACCTGCCTCAGCCAGGGCACCAGCCACCTGCACCCACACAGACAGGAGCCCCCAGGAGGGCAAGAGTCACTTCTGGCCATAGAAGACAAGCTGGGCTCGGTTTCCAGTTGGGCAGGGGAATCTCGGTGCTGCCATATCATCATACTTAGGGCAGAAGAGCGTCTCCCCACATTCACAATGCACCTGCCAGGAAGCTTCAAGAATCCCAGTCTCTAAATCAGAGTCACATGTGTAGTGGATGCTCAATAAATATAAACAAAAAACAAAGCCAGCCTTTTAAGTCAGAAGTGACTTTTCAAATGGAGAAGTGGGTTCAGAAAGGGGTGGTGACTTGTCTGATGTCACACAGCACATGGCACACAGCTCGTGGCCAGTTTCCTGACTCCTAGTCTCGAGTTCTTTCTCCATGGCATATACACTGTGGCTCACTCCACCTACCCACTTTTTGCCAAGCATTTGGTGTGGGCTGAGGAGACAGGAAGGTGACTAAGTCACAGAAGCCACTTTGAGGAACCTCTCAAGTCTGGAGAGGGTTTGGGGAAGCAGCACACAGGCTGGACATTTCATGCAGGGTGTAAGTTCAATGTCAGAATTCACAATAGGATGTTATGGGTGCGTGGCGAAGGGGTGCCCTGCCAGCTGAGGGGAGGAGGAAGGAACCCTCTCTGAGGGGGGTGCCACAGAGGTCGGCCACCGCTGGGCAAGGAAGGATTTTTAAGGCCTCAGCAAAGCCACAGATGTGGTGTTAGTGGGCACAAGAGGAGAGCAGGGATGAGAGGGATGAACCCGTAATGCTGGGAAGGAGGGACCAGACGGAGAAGTCTGGGTCAACTCCAGAAACCCCAGCAGACACAGCGTGAACAACCTGGCCAGACACATATTTTAAAGGCACATCTCACACACAACACACATACACACATGCACACACACGCAGCCCTGGGGTAGCATGGGAAAGAGACCGGGGTGGCAGTTAGGCAGGGCACAGGGAGGGGAGCCCATTGAGGGGCACTGCAGCCACCTGGCACAGCAGAGGGTCAAGGCTGGGCCAGAAGGCCGTGTCTTGGAGGCCAGGGCAAGGGGTTGGAAGGATCTGGAGAGTGTCTGCATTCTGGGCTTAGGCAGTAGGGAGGATGGGCCTTCCTGGATCAGGATCCCTAGGGAAGGGGGTCTTTTCGGGTTAGGGCGGCTGGGAAGGCCCAGGCACCAGGTGCTGTCTGGAGAGAGAAGTCTGGCAGGGCCTGGCCGGCAGTGCCCGGGAGAGAACCTTACCTTGTGGATGAGGACCGTGCCGCAGAGCCCCCGCCTGCCCGCCTTCTTTAGGACGGTGAAGGCGCTGTCGTCCCCAATGACCACCATCTCCACAGGGATGCCCTCAGCCCGGGCCTGCTCCAGGGCCATGCCAAAGTTGAGGCGATCCCCGGTGTAGTTTTTCACGATGAGGAGGGTCCCCACTGCAGAAGCAGCCAGCAGGATCCCATCAGGGCTGCCCCTGCCACCCCCAGGCCTGCCCTCCCAGCAGCCACCTCTCTTGCAGGCCACGCTTACCTGTGCCTGCCTGGGCCACGGCCCTGATGGCAGCCAGGATGCTGCCCACTGCTGGGGAGGTGAACACAGCTCCTGCGATGACCCCTGTCAGCATCCCCTTCCCTATGAAACCTGGAGACAGGTGGGACGGGGAGAAGGCTGGGTGGGCACTCTGGGCGCTTCCCAGGCTCTGGGCCTCATGAATGTGGTGTGCCCTCCCATGCACCTGGTGCCAGAGGGTACCTGGGTTGCTCTCCGCTCTCCGCAGATCTTCACCCAGGAGTAGCCTCCTTGGAGAGGCCTTCCCGGAGATCCCAGCAGGAAGCAGCCACCCGCCCCAACCTGTGACTCGCTGTCCCCTCTCTCTTCACTAACTCACTTAGAACACTCTGGAATGATTTCTCACTTACGTGTTTACCGGATACTGTCTCCTGAAGGAGAACGGACGCCCCATGGGGGCTGCTCTTTGTCTGTCTGGCTCACTGTGGGGTCCTTAGTGCCCAAAACAGGCCAGGCACACAGTGGGTGCTCACTGGCATCTGCTGTGAGGATGGGTGGCTTTGCAAAGGGAGAAGGTGGGGTACAAAGGACAGAAGCCTGTGCTCTGTACCCCTGTGGCTTTCAGGGATACTCCCCTGCCAGGCGCTGAGCAGGAAACAACCCAGAACTGTCCACGGTGTATGTGAAAATACAGGTGGGGACTGAGAAGAGGAATGGGCTATAGGCTGGAAGAGTCAAGCTCCCGTCTCAGAGAGGGGATGAGGTCAGCTGGGCATTCATGAACTCACCAGCTCTCAGAGTTCATTTGGTCCAACATCGAGCTTTCATAAGATGGAGAGTCTGAGGCTCAGGGGGAGGCCATGACTGGCCACAGGTACCTGACTCCAGGCTGTGCCTTGCACCTCTACCAGCACAGCTACCATCTCTCAGACCCCTGCCCATTCTGCCCAACAGCTTCCCTAACCCCCACTCCTGGTAGCCCGGGTTCTCACCAGCGTGGGCGGGCTCGTGGCCGGAGCCCCCTCCTGACAGCAGTGCCACCTGGCCCCGGAGGCTGTCCAGGTCAGAGCGGAGGGCCACGCGGTGGCCCTGCAGGAGCTGCAGGTTGGGGTTGCAGGCCACCAGGCCAGCAAGGGCATCATCTGCACAGCCTGCTACCGAGTTCACCAGCTTCTTGGAGGTCTGCGGAAGAGGAACAGGGAGGAAGTTCCAGGTATGGTCGCCCGAGCCAAGATCCTCTACCCACCCCCCACCCAGGAACTCCAGGGACACAGTCTTTCCTCAGGGGTGTGTTTCTGTGAATTCTTAATTTGTGACAAATTTATGGAGTCTTTGGGGCCGTGGCTTAAATTTATCCTGAAAAATGACTTTAATACAAAGAAAATGCCAGAACTGGTGTCCTGAGTAGAAAAGCATTTACTAAAGTTGGAATCTGACAGCCTTCTCCTTTCCAAAGGAGCCCCGGCCGAGGCTCCTGTGCAGGGGAAGGGGCAGGACAGACCCACACCATGGGCCTTGGCTGCAGGGCAGCCCCCACTGCAGTGGCCTCTCGGTGTCCCAGGCAGGACGAGGCTCTGCGTGTGCAGAGCTGATGGAACACTGTGTTGCCCCCATGGAGGTGCAGAGGCCGTTCCTACACGCCGCGGGAACGCTAGCCCGAAGAATGAACGCATGCCGCAGCAGCACAGAGGGGCACTCGGCCTGCTGAGCAAACCCTGGCAGTCTCTGCAAAGGGTAAGTAGGTGTTAGGTTGGCAAAAGGGTGTGAGGGGCAACAGGGAAGGCAAGGGGAAGATACTCCAGGCAGAGGGAGCGTGTCAGCCCAGGTCTGGAGGTGACAAAGTCTGGTGGCCAGGCCGGAAGCAAGTTAGAAGGACCTGAGCAGCTAGTGACCCGCAGGGAGAGGTGGGCAGCATCTCACAAGCTCAGGGAGGGACCTGGCCATGGGGAGTGTAGGGTGGGAGAGTCCTGGGCAGACAGGCTGGTCCAGCGGGGCTGACATGGGGTGCGGGCAGCAGTGAGCAGCATTGGGGCTGAGCGGTTAGGGCTTGGGACCTGAAGTCCTGGGCACTTGGGCTCAAATCCCACTTCCACCTCTCCTCGGCTGTGAGGACTGAGGCAGTTACCTCAATGTTGAGCTTTAGTCTTCCTCTGCAAAATGGGGAGGGATTTAATAACCAGAATACATGTCTTCTGTATAGCAAACATCGAAAAAAGGGAGCTGGTCCCTTTTTTTAAACAGGTTCTGGGGCCTCCTTGGTGCAAGGGGTTAAGCACTACACTGAAGCAATCCGCAGCCTCTGCAGCACAAGTTTGATCCCTAGCCAGCCAGAGAGAAACCCACATGGTGCAGCAGACCTCTCCTGACTTACCCGCTGCTCCCCTCAGCAGTGTGTTTCAGTCAGTCTGCCTGTTCTGCTCCCCACTTTGTCTCTGGTGAACCCTCTCACCCCCCGCATCTCTCGCCTATATCTCAGCTCTTGTATGCATAAATAAATCTTTGGAAAAAAATGAAATAAAAAAATAAACAGGTTCTGAAAAGCCAGAGCAGACTGAGCAGGTGCAGCTGGGACCCTTCAGGTCCCCAAGACCACGAGACCAGACTGGTCCAATAGGGACGCTGAGGGCCGGGCTCCCAGCGCCACCTGGTGGCCCACAGCTGAGCCTGTCCTGGCAGAGCTGCTCTGCCCAATGTCCTCATGTACCTGCCAGCACCAGGCTCCCCTGTGCAAAAATGGACCTTTCCTGGGTCTGGCTGGGGCCAGGGCCAAGCCACCTGCTTTGGGGCAAGAAAAGCAGCCCAGGCCAGTAGGGAGTGAGCAGAAAAAGACTGGCTCCATTGCCCAGCAGTGACTGAGAGCTGGGCTGGGCCAGAGTGCTGCTGAGCACATTTCATTTAATGTTCTCACAGCCCCATGGAGGAGCGTTAGCCAGTGAGGAAACTCACGATTACAATGCCCAAGATCCCACAGCCAGCAGGCCTGTGGTTCCAAAGCTGCTTCCATCTGACTCTGGAAGAACATGGGCTTATGGCTTGTGTGTGAAGCTGTGAGTTAGTTTTCAATCCCAAGCCCATCCTCCTGGGCCACCACCCTCCAAGAGTGTGCCCCCTCACCGTCACTGATAGTCTGTCCTGCCTGGGGCTTGCAACCATTTCCAAACTACAGTCATGAGGGCGGGGGGTTTAGGGCCGAGGGCTAGCCTTAGTTCCCAGAAGCATGAGGGGATGGAAGGAAAGGAAGTTGGCTACGTGCTGTGTGAGGCCCCTAGGACTTTAGTCTGACCCACCCCTCCCTGCCACTTGGAGGCAGGGCTTAATCTACCCCATTTTGCAGAAGAGGAAAAAGAGGCTCAGAGAAGTCAAGTCTCTGTAAAAGATCACTCACTGGTGAGTGGCAGGCTGAAAGCTGAACCCATGTCTGTCCAAGGCCTGCTTCAGTTCAGATCAGTTCTACAGAGGGTCTGGGGCAGTGTCCAAGTACACTGGGACCTCCCATAGTGTAGATCCCACTCTGGTGCCAGCGCACATGCACCCCAGGAACATGTGCCTCAGGAACAGGCACCAGGCCCTTCTTCATAGCTCATAGTAGGTTGCTGTTCATACTCTCACTTAAATCCCAGACCCCAGGTACATGGGCCCTGGAGCAACTCAAGATATAGTGCCAGGCCTGGCTGGGCCCAGCTGGGAAGTAGAGTGAAGGAGGGATCAGGTCCTAAGAAGAGAATGACCTCTTTTAACCTCTCTGAACCTCAGGAGGCAGCAGCATCTCTGTAAGGGTCTCCAGGTACCCAGGGCTGTCTCGTCCCCACCTCCCCTCTAGCCCCCCCCACTATCCTTCCCTTGCCCTGGCTCTGGTGGGACTCACCATGGTGAGGCGGCTCTGAAGCAAGTTGAGTTCACTTCCTCACACTGAGCTGCCGGAGGACGGGCAATCCTACGTGTGCTGCCTGGGTCTGGCACAGTGGAGGTGGCTGCTGCACCTGCAGGAGTGGGTGTCAGTGAGAGCTACTGCGGGCACTGGACGCTGACTGGCAGTCACGCTTCCAGGACCCGAGTCATTAGGGAGCTGTCCTAGACTTTGATCCAAGTCCAAACTCTAATACGTGGTCTGGGATAGAGAAGAGCATGGGACTGACAAGGTTCATGCTACATTTGGCTGCCAGAAGCCAGATCGATCATGAGGGGCACATGCTGCCTTTATGGCAGGAGCAGTGCCCACTTCATCACCAAAGAGCAGACAGAGTTATTGACATACCAGCTCCATCTCTCCCACAAGTATTGCATGAACTGATGTTTAAAAGATCATCACACCCTTGCTCTTGTTGGCACTGGCACCACCCCTGGAGAGAGGCGGCTGAGTCTGTGATCCCAGTTACTCCCAGGAAACCAACTCAGAGCTCCAGCGCCATGTGTGAGGTCCTGCTAGTAAGAGGCAGGACTGAAACCTACGCCTGGTCTTTTCCCACAAAGCCTGTGTTCTTTCTACTGAAAATTCAGTGCCTCCAAAGTCAGGCAGGCCCCAGGTGGGAAATCATGTGTATGTCACAACCATGTTCTAGCTCTCCTAACTCAGCCTGGGTTAGAGGGCTTGGGTCCTCCTGGCCCTTGTGCTGTCTTCTGTGTGTCTGCAACGGAAAACCCCAGGCCGGACTCTGCACCAGCTCTGACTTCCTGGGGGTGGGGTCTTAGGGAAACCAATCCCCGCCCCCCAGCCTCAGCGACCTCACCCTCGAAACCCTGGAGAGGGGGTAACAGGGGGTGGTGGTGGTGATGGAGTATGCGTTCCAAGCCACGTGGTTCTGGCCCCTTCCTTGGGGATCGTGTGTGACTAGGTGGCTGGAAGTTGCAGAAACTGGGTGTCCCCTGGCTCGTTCAGATTCCCAGGGGCGACTCTGATTCCGTGCTTGAGGTCAGCCTCCGCGCCACGGGGCGTGCACAGCGCCCCCCAGACTCGGCAGTCTGAAGATGAAAGAGGTTGCAAGAGAGGGTGTTCCCTTCCCCCCCCACCCGGTGAGGCGGAGGATCAATTATTTTAGGGTCCAAGTGTGGGCACAGGCTGGGCTGGGGGGGCAGGGCGGGCGCCGGGGTCCCCCCTTCGGTCCGGGGGCGCACAGCGCATCCCCCTCCCCTAGCCAGGCCTCTGCAGTCCTCCCGCTCCCCGAGAGGGAAGGCCCCGAGGGCGCTCGGAGCGGTGGGCGGGAGAGGGACTGGGGGCGGCGTGGCACCCCCCGACCCGCTCACGCCCGCACCCACCACCTGCTCGTCCGCCGCCGCGCCGCAGGGCCCCGCGACGGAGCGCCCGCATCCGGGTCCTCCGAACCCGGGCGGTTGGAGGCGGGGCTGGGCGGCAGGGGGCGGGGCCTCCCCTGGTTGGCGGCCTCCGGCGCTGTGAGTCCTCCAAGAGGCCAGGTGAGGCCGTCCCGTGATGCCCCGCGCCGCGGCCGCTCTGGCCTGCAACGTGTCTGTGGGGCGGAGGCAGGGGCCGCGGAGTTGGCTGCGCGCGGGCGGGGGCCGCCTGTCTCTTCGCTCGCGTCCGTCTCGCTATCGTTGCTCTCGCGTCGCGACGGGACACCCCGGGCCTCGACATGTCGTACAACTACGTGGTAACGGCGCAGAAGCCCACCGCCGTGAACGGCTGCGTGACCGGTGAGGCCGCGGGGCCGGGGACCCCGGCGGGGGGCGCTGGAGGGAAGCGCGGCCTAGGGAGGCCGCGGCCCGGGGCGGCCGGGCGGGACCGGGCCGGGCGCCGGGAGACCCCGGCGGCCGCGGGAGCGCGCCCGGCCCACGGCTTCCAGGAAGCCGCCTCGACGCGCGCCTTTCGGGGAGTCAGAGCTGCGCTTGAGGGTCCCCGTTCGCCCGAGGAGGTCACTGGGCCTCGCGGACCGGGCCGGGTGTGGGCCGGGAGGGGGAGCGGGTCGTGTGGTGTGCGCGGGCCTCTGCGTGCTGATCCCTGCATCGGGGCAGGGGCGGGGGCGAGGGCGACTTTGGGGTGAGGATTTTCGTGTGGAAGAGCCTGGGGGGGCTCAGGAGGTGCACGGAGGTGAGGCTTGTCAAGGAGAGGCGTCCTCTTTGCAGGCGACTCTTTGCAGGGGCCCTGCTTTGGAAGAGGGTGTGGGGGGCTCGGCCCGGGGCCGGGTTTCCCTGCTGACCCTGTGCTGGGATCGTTAAGGACACGGATGGCCAGAACCCGGGGATCATCACTGGCCGCCCCACTCTTAGCAGCGTGTAACGATTTCAAGTTTGTTTACTAAAGCCAGAGCATGATCCCATAGCAAAACTCTGGTGTGGAGAGATGAGGTGGTGGAAGTGGACCTGGGTTTTTTGGGAGACACTCTGGGAGGGAAGTTGCTGGGAGCTGTGGACCGAGCAGTATTTTCATACAAAACTCTGAGGATTTTCTTCATTTGACCTGGGCTGTTGGGTAAAGATTTTATCAGAATTGAGATGGGAATTGATTGGCGACGAAGGCTTTCTCCGGCATCCTGAAATTAAATGGTCAGGGAAAGCAAACTTGAGGGCACAGAACCGTTTGAAAGGTTTTCACAGTCATTGTCGGTTGACTGCCATGTTGCTTTTGCTCCAGTCCAGTTTTTTGTTAGTTTGACTAGGGAAGTATCTTTCTTGAATGTATGAGGTGAGACTCCTTGAGGTGCTGGATTTGGTAGGGAGGGAGTGAATTGAGGGAATGTGGGAGGGTGTGGGGTAGAATTATGTGAAGTAAATGAGAATTCTGGGGTTGTTTAGGTAGAAGTGATGGGATTATTTCAATACTGCCCTGGCTTCAAGAATTAGTGGCTGTTTTTTCAGGACACTTTACTTCAGCTGAAGACTTGAACCTGTTGATTGCCAAAAACACAAGGTTAGAGATCTATGTGGTCACCGCTGAGGGGCTTCGACCTGTCAAAGAGGTGGGCATGTATGGGAAGATTGCTGTCATGGAGCTTTTTAGACCCAAGGTAAGTGCTCTGGGTTAGGCCAGGCAATGGAGGGAGAACTGGTGGCTGTAGATGGTTTAATGGCATTGCTTGGGATGGATAAAATAAGGCTTTGGAGAGATGCTCTTCTCTTTTTTAAATGGGCGGATACCATTTTATATTCTTGAATACACATCCTAGAAGGAAGGAAAGTATCTCTAGTTGATTTCTTTAAAAGGGGGGATCAAAGGAGCTTGAAATGTGTGTTGTTACAGTGATTCAGAGTCAGATTCTAGAGAGGGCAATTCTGCCTTCATTCCTCATTCAGGTTTCTCCACCTGTAAAATGGGAATAATTATATCCAATCCCCAGGATTATTGTGAAGATTAAATGTTTTAATAGCACAGGACTTAGCACATAAGAAGCATTCTTTATCATGTTAGCAATAATCATCTTATTGTAATTCAGATGTTTTCATCCAAATATCCCCCACATTACTTCATTGTATGTTAACTAGATCTGACAAGAAGGCAGTGTGTTCTAGGTTTTAATTATAACCCTCAAAGCAAAATACTCACTTTGGGGGGCGGGCAGTTTGTGATAAGTTAGACTTTGTTAGATCCATTTTAGCTTCCTTTATTACTCAACTTTTTTTTTGTTTTCTTTGAGTATTTGAGGGTTAGAGGAGGTATCACATTCATCTTTCAGAATTTGAAAGGAATGCTCCAGATTAGCTTGAGATGAAAACAGATGAAGATACTATATGTAGAACAAGGATGGAAAATTCTTGAAAGTGAAGACTGGCTGTTTATGTGCTTTAGTTCTGGCCTTGCACACATACCCTTAGGGCAATGGGTACCTATTGTATCTTACTCACTTTGGTATTTTTCCTCAAGGAGAAAAGAAAGTTCTTAAAGAACTTTGCATACTTAAAAAAGAATACCTGAAGGCTGGACAGGTATACCTGTTTTTAAAAAGGACCTCTTTTGATAGCGCAATGTTGGTTTCCAGGGGGAGAGCAAGGACCTCCTGTTTATCCTGACAGCGAAATACAATGCCTGCATCCTGGAGTACAAGCAGAGTGGCGAGAGCATTGACATTATAACGAGGGCCCATGGCAATGTCCAGGTGAGGTGGCTGCTCCAGGCTGGTGAGAGTTTTCCAGGTGGGGCTGTCATGATTTGATGAGAAATTTGAAGTGCTGGTTGGCTGTGGATGATGAGAGAAACAGGCAAAAATGCTCAGGAGATATCTTTTATGAACTTTTGTAGTTTACTCTGAGTAAACTTTTGTAGTTTACTCTGAGTCCAGGGGACGGGGTAACAATTCATTGAGATTCACTGTTTTGCAAAGAGGCATGCACTGATGTTTGACCTCCCTGGTGGGTGAAGTAGATGCCATTGGTTTTACTACCCCTCCTAAAATCATGCTGGGAAAAGTGCTGTCTGGTCTTCTCCGTCACTCTGGGTGTTGAGATTCTTCCCTAACCCCAGTTTCACTTCTCAGGACCGCATCGGCCGCCCCTCAGAGACTGGCATTATTGGCATCATTGACCCTGAGTGCCGGATGATTGGCCTGCGACTCTATGATGGCCTTTTCAAGGTTATTCCACTGGACCGAGATAACAAAGAGCTCAAGGCCTTTAACATTCGCCTGGAGGAGCTGCATGTCATCGACGTCAAGTTCTTATATGGTTGCCAAGCACCCACCATCTGCTTTGTCTACCAGGTACTGGAGCACGCGGGGGAGAGGGAAGCTGTGTGGTTTGGCGCGTTGGGAGTTGATTTTTGCTAGTGGAGTGTCTGGCTTTGGTAGTATGGTATTTTCCCTGAGATGTTTTGAATGGTATAATTAACGTGGGTCAGATTTGCCTGTGTCTTGCGCACGGGACTACTTAACAGTGTAGCCAAGAAGCTTGCTGGGGCTTTGTGGCAGGTTATAATCTTGAGATTACTTTCTGGTTCTGGACCTTAGAGATTTTATAAGGTGACCCAGTTCTACTTTGAATCTCTTACTGGCATGCTAAAGGATTATTAAAATTTAGCTGTAGAGAAATGGTCTGGAAATTGCTTTTACAAGCCAAGAGAAGTGTCTTAGTGAGGCCTTACTTTGTGTCTTCTAAGAAGGGGTTGCATTTTGTCCAGCACTCACGTTCTGGTGACTTGCTGGCTCCTGACTTCTATTTTAGTCTGTGCCTAAAACTTCAGCAGAGCTGATCCTGGGCAGCTGTTCTCCGGGCCATTTCTGTAAAGGGGGGGCGGGGGGGACAGGGTGGCAGATCATCAGACTAACATGTCTCTATCTTGGTAAAATCTCAGCCTTTTAACAAAGGGCAGTACAGCATGAGGTCATTTCACTGGTGTGTGGTTGAATAAATGGCGGAAGGAAACAGCAGTGTGTGGATGTGTAAACACTTGGATAACTTTGTTGAGTTTTGGAAATAGAGGTATATTTTTGTTTACTTCTTAGTGTTACTCTAAGTTGCTATAATTCTGAGCTGGTTGGAATAAAGTTCAATTGGATAAAATTGAAACCGGTACAGGAGATCTTGTCAGATCTTGTGTATAGTGCATTGACTGGTATAGCCGAAATAAAAACTTAGAAATTCTCTCCCTTCTTCAGATTTGTAAATACCGGGTTACTAAAACATTGGTGTCGATTGTTCAAGGCTGAATGTTCTGTTCCCAGAGGCCCAAATCCAAACCCCACCTTGAACTTTTCATGAAATTAAGTCTAACTCCTAACCATTGATGGAAAAATCTTACCAACTGACAATGAGTTGTACCACAAATTTGTAGTACAAATTCACTGGATAAATATTTAGGTACCTGTGGTGTGAAAGGTAGCCACACTAAGTGCATCAGGAGCTATAACAGTGAAAGTGATGCTGTCCCTGCCCTGGATCCCACAGTTGAATTCCTTCCATAACTTTCAGACTCTGGTCTGACCTTTGCTGAGGCCATGCTGTGCTGGCTAGATGCAGCCCTCTCCTCATCGTGCTCTCGTAGGCTCTCAGAGGCCACTTGGCAGCCCCAGGACTGAGTCATGATTCAGAAAAAGGAGGGGACGACTGTGTTGACAATGGCAGGACGAGGCCTTACTGACTGCAGAGGACCGATACGGTCTGTTCTTCCTGTCCCATCAGTATACTTTTAAGA